ACGTAAGCGTTGATCGGTTCCTCGAACGACTCAGTCTGGAAATTCGACACGAGATCGGTATCGGTGATTCCATTTGCTGTCTGAAATGATATGGGCTCTGGAGTCACGAGTGTCTCGAGACTATGCTTCTCGATCTTCTTCTGAGATATGAGGTCGTGGCCACACCCAGTGTCCATGAGAAACTTGATCTTCTTCTTGAGGATGACTGGTTGAACCATGCATTTGCATACACCTTGATTGATGATCCGCTTGCTGTGTGCAGCATCGAGTTCACGCTCAACGATGGAATCCTCACCGTCGTAGAAGGAGACTTCCTCCACCCGAGACGTTCCTGGGATTCGCACGAATGAAACTCGATCTCCACATTGATCATCATCGTCGTCAACCATGTCTCTCATAATCTGTGCCCTCAATCTCGCTTTGTGCTTGGCGAATTCCAAATTCACGGCGCGATCCTCATCGTTGACAAGCGCTTCCATGTCGACGTACTTCACCTTCCGCTCTTTGTCCTTCTTCGATCTTCTAGGACACGAAGAAATGAACTTCACGTCATCGGCGAATGTCACATTACGCTTGATCCCTTTTCGGGTCGACGTAGTCGGTCCCGAGGATTCGTCGTCTGTTGAACAATCCGAATCAGCGTCGCTGTCAACGGATGGACAATCTGACTCCTCCTCATCTTGTCTTGAAGATCGCTTCCATATAGCCGGGGCTGATGGATTCCACCTTCGGCACAATCTGATGGCGGGTGCCGCAGGGAGTGCCTTGGCCTTGGCATTCGGCTTCGCTGGAGCTGCCTTTGCTTCGGATTTGGCTTTAGCTTTTGCCTTTGGTTCCGGAGCTGGGGTAGCTGCTGCCTCATGCTTGAAAGGACAATTCTCTCTTGAGCACGAGCCTGTGTTCTTGAACGAGTAGCATATCCTGTTTCCTCCTCCTCCAGATGGACTTGGAGTTCTCGTCCTCGGCGTAAAGGGTCGCTCTGGAGTCTTCTTCGAGTGACTGAATGGGCACTTGTCACCATTTCGACACCCTGCATCTGTGAAATGGAACTTGCAGCGGATTTGCTTCTTGCTCTTGTCGCCTCTGTTGTCCGCTGACTCACTCCTCGTCTTCTTCTTGGGTTTTGGCTTGGTCTTCGCATGACTCTTCGCTTTGCTTTGAGGTAGTACAGGTGTTGCTTTATCCGGCTTGGTCGGTGAAGCCTTGACCTTTGCGGATGGAGCTGCGTTAGGCGTTGGTTTCTCAGGTACCTTGGCCGGCGCAGCAAGCAAATCCTTGCCCTCAAGCATCTGGCGCAAGCCAATTTGGGTCTGAGTGAGATTTGATTGTTCTCGTCTCCGCATGATGGTACGGTCAATGATCTTCATCAGATTGTCGTACGATCGGTCTTCATGATTGTAGGGCAAGTGTTCGTAGTGCATGCCCAACTCCATCTTCATTGCGGGCGAGTCCTTGATCTTGCTGTACAGGCAATCACGGAGAGCTGTTTTGGATGGTATGTCTTCTGGCCTCATCCGTCCCAGAACCTCCAACCACGTCTGCTTGAACGTATGAAGCTTGTTGTCGCCTTGGTACTGAAGCTTCACCAGATACTCGAGAGTGATGATCATGTCGAGACGATCATGCGTTCGAAAACTTTCATACATTATCGCAATGATTTGTCGTCCTTTGATGATCTTCCCTTCGGGCCTGCTGATGTAATCGTTGGCCTTCCGGTTCACCTCCAAGTACAGATCAGCAGATTTGTCACCACCAGCGCGTAGCATTGCGACCATAGCGATCCCCAGTTTGACGTCTACGCTCTTGAACTTCTTGTGTCCTGAATCGTTCAGTGCTTCGACATCTGGGAATGGGTTGAATGCAGGTGCCAGCCATAGCATCCAATCCTCATGGTTTGGATCGGCTGATGCTCCTAAGACATTCGCCGTGCATACGGATCGCCAGTTGTTGAGGTGAGTGAGAGTAGGCCATGGAGGAACGGTCACTTTGTCGGCCTCCCTCCTGGAAATTCTCACCTCCGTGACTTCAGGATCTGCGTCTCCATCAGGATCACGCGCATGAGAGCCAGGATCCGATTCAGGTTTGCCTCCACCGCTTCTCTTCTTATCATCATCATCATCAGGCGGGTCTGGAGGGTCATACCCCGTGCCGGTTCCTTCATCATGCTCTCCATCTTCATTCTCGTCGCCAGCTTCGTCACCGTCATCGTCTCCATTATCCTCCTGAATCGTTTCAGCGAATAATTTCCACTCATCACGATCAGCTCTGAGACGCTGTTCGGCTTTCTGGGCCTTGAGTACTTCGCTTCGCAGATCGGCAATCTTCTCCTCGTACCGTTCCGCGACCTCTTTTTCGATCTGACGTCTCCTTGTTTCATGAATGGAATCGTCATAGGCAATAGGGGGACCAATGAGGTCGTTGCCCTTCGTAGATGCGGTGACACCGTCGACACCAACAGGTCTTGAGGAGCTGGCAGATGCTGTGGACTTCGATCCCAACATCCCGCGATCCTCCAAGAGTTCGCGTAGCTGTCGATCACGCACGGCTGCCGCATCACTTTTCCCATGAAATCCGCTTGGTATGCCGAACAAAGTGGCTGCACTAGGCGTGGAACGCGCAAGTGCTGGGCTGCTAATACCTGGCACGTAGTGCTCGGGCATTGCATCCGCCACGATTGGCATTGAATTGCGGCCAGTGAAGAAGTTTCCACCGGTGAATGGAATTCCATCCATCACAAGGTTCTTGTCCTTGTCCGATTCCGAGAATGCGAACTTCTCTTTGGCGACTGGACTAACTTGACTTGGGGACCGTATTTCAGGGGATCGTACCTCACCTCCTACGGAAAATGCAGGCACTACTTCCTTTCCTACGTGCTCCCAGCCAGACTCAGTAGTCCTCGAAGACATGGGCATGCTTGAAGGCCGTGTCGCTCCTCCATAGTTGGAGTTCCGCGCTGCCTCCAATTCGCTGCGTGTCCTCGCTTGAAGATCTTCTTGTGCTTTGAGCGTTTTCCTGAGTTCACTCAGCTCGTCGTGCAAGGTAGGCAATGCTCGCCTTGCATGATCTTCATTCTGATGAAGTCGGTCCTCTGCATCTTGCATCCTCTTCACAGCCATTTTGCGGTACTCTTCCTCTTCACCAAGACGTTCGCGAAGCCGAAGTCGTTCTTGATCAATGGCTGCGCTGTTTCCAGCTAGCCCTTGGATCTCGTTCACGGCCCGCAACTCCTGGTTCTTGACCAAGTGGAATCGTTCCTGCATTGCTTGTAAGGCTTGTTCCGAACTTGCTGTGTTCGACCGGAGGACCAAGTTCTCTCTGGCATGTTCATGAAGTTCATGAGTCAGACGCTCATACTCACGTGCCATAAGCTCACCATCGCCTTGCGCTCTTGCCTCCAACTGCACAAAGTTAGTGGCTGCCTCCGTGCGGAACACGTGTAGCTGTTGAGCTAACTCCTCGGCAACGGCATGTGCTTGACGTTGTTGAGCAGAGTTCTGTTCATCCATGCGAAACAAAGCTGTTTCATAGTCTCGCTTCATCTCCTGATTGACATTGTTGATGTGCCTCATGGCTAAGCATGCATGGTCACGTTGTCGTTCCAATTCTTCAATGCGAATTCCAGATCCTTCATCTTCTTGTTGCATCTCCTTGATCTTGTCCATCAGGGTCTGAACAACTCCTTCGTATTCTTGCATCTGACTGCGATAGTACATCTGCTGCGCAAGGTTAGATGCTTCGAGCTGTTGCGAAATCGTCAGTTCCTGATAGGCATTCGGACCATCGGCTATGGCTGGCGTGGCCACCGATGACGCATCACCACGTGCTGGGATAGTGTCCAGAGTCATATCCAGATCGTCAGCATCGCGTGGTTGGTTGGTAACCATCCGATTCCAAGTCATGGACTTGTCACGCCCACGAGTAACCGAAGTCCTTGATCGTGCTGAAGAGCTTCTCGAAGATGATGGTCTTGACTTCTTTTCCAAGGTCTTCACTCCTTTGTCCTTGGCCCTGGACGTAGTCCGAGGTGCCTGAAAACCAGACGCTTCGGCTCGTCGTTCGGGAGCCTTGCCCGTCCTCGAACCTGTGGATGTCGGACGCGAAGGCGTAGATGCTCTTGGTAGACTCTTTGCTTTCACCTTGGGAACTGCCTTTGCAATGGCAAGCGCAGAAGATTGACCTTTGTCATCTTCCGTGGAGCTATCAACGGATTGCACCACTGTGTCATCAGCTGTTGATTCACCAACGGCTGGCGCTGCCACATCGGCACCGAAAGTCATTGTCGTATCTTGGCTTGATCCCGAGTTCATTGTGGTCGTAGTAGATCAAGTAGTCGTTGCTGTAGAAAGGCAGAGCCGCGTACGGCTGATAACCTGCGTGGGGGATTGATCTCGACTAGGTTGCTGCTCTCCCCACCAGAGCTGTAATGAATGTAGGTGTGGCTGGCTTGCACTCTCCACAGACTGGACCCTGTCTCTCTCTCACTTCCACACGTGCAATCCTATGCAGGCAGAACCGGTGGCCGTTCCTTTTGCACTCACTGCCGGCGGCGGTTCGTCTGTGCAACGGGATAGCTCTGATTGCTCAGGATAGAAGACACTTATAGCACTTAGCTATGGGCATTGACTTGAGCCAAACGTTGCGTGGGCGGTCACATAGAAAGGTAAAGATGAGGGACGCGTAGCGTGCCCCCTTAGAGTCGAGGGACGCGTAGCGTGCCCCCTTCTCTTGCACTTTACACGGTCGTGCTCACAGCTCTTATAGTGACACCTTAGAACTTGACAAGGCATCGCAGTCCGTTCGCATTTTGGGTACCCTAAATAATAGGTGCCGTATTATAATAGGGACCCAAGAAGGGACCATAATTTTGACAACCACCCATATTATCATATCGACATGGAAATTGGGGAGCTCGAGGTCCAGCTTCAACCCGACACACACGCTGGCCATGGCAACTTGGTGAGAGCACCGTTCGTGCGAGCTCTTGCCGAGAACTGATGGAATCATGCAAGCACCGCTACTACGGGGAAGCTTTCATAAACAGCTTGGCCTTTCTTTTTGAGCTTCTCCTCATACCTCCTGAGTCATTTACATTCTGCAGTGTTGGGACGGAGATTTGGCTCCTACTTGTATCGTATTTACGAACGCAGAATTGGCAGTTCGCTCGAGAAGAACCAATGGACCAGCTTGAACAAGACCTGCAACTGATAAGTTTCTGCTGGGGGTCTGCCGCAGCTCTTCCTGCATTCGCAGCCTCAGACGGACCGCAACGTCAGCACACCATGACCATCACAGCGCCGGAGATCACAGACACTTCCAAGATATCCCTAGATTCCCTAGATTACAAACCTGAGTCATGCGCTTTCGCTTGTCTTCGACGGCGAACTCGACAATTGGCCGGCGGTTGCCTCCGAAGACTGTCCTCGGCACTTCTGCAGGCACAGGGGGCACAGGGACAAGCTATGTCAGCTGCCAAGTCAGCAGCGGGTTGTCATTGAGGAACTCCAAAGCTTTCATGGCCGAGTCGTGGTCCTCCACAGCACATCACAGCACTATATCCACTATGCATCACTACGCAGTACTTGCATTCTCACAGCACAAGTCCCTTGCGGGGGTATGGCGCCTTGAAGGTCACAAAGCCGTAGCCCTTGGAGCGGCGCTCGCCGGCTTCCGTCCGGCGCTCGTCGTCCCGCACCATGCTGGCCTCCGGCGCCACAGAGGCTCCAGGCCCTCCAGGCTCAGCCTCCTCCTTCTCCTCTGCCCTCTCTGCGCCTTCACAATCGCCTCCTGGGCAGCTTTCAGGCGCCCCTTCTTTCCCTCAACCTTAGGGCCGTTGAAGTAAAAAGGATCACGAGAGTGTCAGAGTGAAGCGCCAAGGCAAACACGGCATCCACGCTGCTCGGGCTGTGTGCCAAATGCCTCGGATCCGCAAACCTTCCTTCCGGCAGCTCCTGCTTTGCAACTTCAGCCCAGCGGCTTCACTATCGCTTCCCGCAGCTTGTTGGCATCCACAAACGTGGGCAAGTTGCGAATCTTGGCTGTGCGACGGCTGAAAGCTGAGAGACAACATGCAGCACTCAGGCGCCCGGCACTTATGCGCTGAGGGTGAATCGCGAAGTTCGAGTTGTTAATTCGCCTGCAAAGTTCTGTGAAAGCCCGACGAAACTCTTGAGGTGTGCTGGACTGGCATCGAACTCGCTAGGCTTCCAACCACTTCCTCTCCTTCTGCCCCTCTATCCTTTGGCGCTGCTCAGACCTCACAGCATCACAGGTGGAACGCCACGAAAGTCTCGCGGCATCAACCCCTGCAAAAGATTGGTGCACAGAACGAGAGGTCGGCTTGGACAGATTGTCCCAGCGAGGTGACGTCCTGCATGGGAGCCGTCAACACTACTCACCACTCCGGGGACGTCCTCAACGTGCCAGGCGGGCTCTGGGATGTCTCCCACCTTTGGAACAATCCCAGCAACTGCCAAGCACTAGAACTCGAGAAGGTTCAGCTAGGTCACGTTGAGCAAGTGCATCCATGTCCGGCGCTCCTGACAAAGCAGGAAACCAAGCGAGCGAGTGTCGTCTTGAGGCCCAAAGGCCCTGCCTTGGAAGCCTGTCCCTTCATCTTCGTCTTGTCGCTTAGCTCTGAAGCCTCGCACGGCTCGCGGATGCTCGCATATGCTGGTGTTCCGCAGTTCCCTGCCTCCTGCGGCTTCACAGCCGGCTTCAGAACCAGGCGGCGCCCCTTCACCCGCTCCCGCGTCACCAACACAAGAACACTTCGACAGCAGAAAGGGTCTCGGCTGCCGGCCTTTAAGCTGACGCCGAAGCCTTCGACCTCAGAGCGGAAGCGGAAGCGGGAGCGGACGTAGATGTCTCCGAGGCGGCGGCTGCGGGGAGCTCGCGCTGGTCGCTGCGCCGCACCACCGAGGAGAGCTCCTGCAGAACGCGTCGCTGCGCCGCGGAGGCGAGAGCTCAGAGGCGCCGAGGCGCTGCGTGCTTTGTGCGGGGGGCTGCGGGGGGCGTGGGGGCGCCCCGCCGCCGCCGCTCCGCTCCTTGAGCTTCCTCTCGGCCTCCTCCTCGGCTGCCAGCGCCGCCTGCGCCGCCTGCGCCTCATTTTCATTTTAAACGGAAAGACCTCACGGCACCTGGCGGGGCTGCGGAGACAACTCGTGCTTGATTTCTTCGCAAAACGTAAACTTCGTTAACTGCGCAAGCCTGGAGTCTGCTGCAAAACCGTCGTTGGGAGGCCAGTATGTCATATTGACATCTGACGCTCGCGTCAAACAAAATGCCTGCCAGACTAATCTGGGTGCAAAGCCAAGTGATGTTCAAGGCTGCTGAAATCCCTGATCTGAATCACTGAAGCGACTGGTGGCTCTGTCTAGGACGGTGCAGAGCCATCCGCCAATACTTGCAGACTGGGGCATCGCCAATTTCAGCATCCTTGCTTTACACGTAAACATACACTTTGCCACGACTGGCAGCCTGGTCTGGGAATGTCATTATTCCCTCGGTGGAGGCCATCGGCATCGTCCGGCAACCTCCAGCTGTCGAAAACTTCCCCAGCAGTCACGCCTTATGCTGTCTGACTTTGCCATGCCTCCACGGATTTGTGCCAAGCTGAATGTGCCCTTGCACATCAGCCGAACTACGTTAAAACTCGGACAATGCTTGCGCCGGCAGTGAACATGCCTCGCATCATCCCCTCGGCTTCAGTGAATGCTAGAAATGTCGTGCATGTCGGAGGTCGACTAAATGACTGCGGCATCCCCGCAGGGGTAGGCTTTTGCCAAAACGTCCGCAGAGATAAGTGGACTCTGAACTGAAAGTGCAGAGCTCTTGTGGGTGGGGCAAGCGCGGGCCCTAGCCGCACCCATGCCCCATAAAGCACGGAGATGCACACAGGGATTGAAATTGGAATGAACATGCAAAGGTACAGGTGCTTTCGGAAATCGGAATGGGCGATCCTACGATTTACAATCCGATCTTCGTCCTTACAATGATTCCAGCACCCAACGCAAAAACCAATGAGCCGCAGTGTGTCAGGGTAAACATTTCTGCTACCCTGACTTCCATGACCATCCAAAGGGTCACTGGATGGCATTTGTCCGTAGATTAAAGCTGACTCTTGCGTTTTGGGACAATTGCACTTCTTGCGAACTCGAAAATGCGTGCCGTTGAATTGCCAGGGCCCAAGAAGCCGCTGGGTCGTCCGTACACGAAACTGGTTGGAACCCTCTGTGGTGCATGGTGGAAGAAGTGGAGTGCGCGGGCAAGCCTGTACCCTGTACCTGGCAGCTGGTACGTAGGATCTTAGGAATCACAAAAAGCTGAAGACGCTTCGGCGCACTTTCATTGACGCGGCTCTCTGAGCTCTGGCCGCCGACCCGCGAGGATCCAGCCTAACAGCCATTCTCAGTTACATCGTCGTGCTTCATTGGTTAATGCGGGTAGGGGTGCCCTTCCGACGCGGAAGACGTATGGGTTTCCTCAGCTTGCTGTGATCAGGTGCCGTCGATCCACCACAAACAGCACAAGCTTCAAGTTGCAAGTGGAGGATCGTTGGAGCAGGAAAGCTGACCGGCTGCCCGTCGCTGAAGACCAGCGGTCTGCACATTTCAGGGACCTGCATAAAGGCGCCATGAAGGCAGAGCTGCAGGCAGCGGGAGCTTCCCGGCTCCCTTCCCCTGCAGCAACGGACGCATGCGGTATGCGGACCTGGCTCGACATCACTGGGCTGTTCCTGGCATCAGGTAAGCTGTGCCATGCTGTGCAGAGTGAGAAACGGAGCTCGACCCGCCCGGTCCTGTATCGCTCTACGTGCGCAGCGTAACCCTGCAAAGGATGGCCCCAGTGGGCCTTTCAGATCAAGAGTTGAGCAGAATGAAAGTCTACTGAGTCTACTGTTGTGATCTCCAGCCTCGCAGGGTATTATCTCGCTCTCCTTTAGAGGAACGCAGTCTCATGACAGAAGGCTCACGCATCCTTTTTGCGACCAAGCGTCAGTGCTGTGCCAGTCCACGAAACCGTCAAAGAGCTGCCTAGCCTCCGAACATCTGCCAAGTCTGCAATCCCTTCATGGCAAGGCGGATGCAACACTGAGGCCTTCGAAGCCTGCTCGTGGCTCACAAAGTTGACAAACGCGTATCCGTAAATCGCGAAATTATCCTGGCATCAGAAAGCATCGCTCCTCCTGTCGCCAGAGCGAAGAGAAGCCTTGAAGTCCCGCGGAAGGTAGAGAAAGTCATACATCCTCGAGTAGCCTGTGACACTGGTATCGAACGCAGTTAGCATCGTGGAAACATTGAAGGCAGCCACCCGGTCCTAGACTGTCCAAGAGCTCCATGAGAGTCTCTCTGGTGGTATCCTGATGTAATGGATCAGCCCAGGTCCACAAGTCATAACATGCCGTGATGTTGGAAGGCTCCCCTGGAGCCAAGAGTCCTTCGGGATATTCCTCGGCACCAACGGTTCAACTTTGGTGTCATGCTTGGATCGTTTTAGTGCTAAGCACTGGGCCGCAGCATGATAGTGGTGCGCTCCTCGTCCCTGATTGCCACGGGCTCTGCAGAGCCTCATGGCATCTCACGGCACGGCAAGAAACTGGCTTCACGTGGCGACTCCCACCCGTGGCCTTGCGTGTCATCACGTCGAACTTCTCCGGCCTCACAGGGAAGAAGTGCTCTTCGGGGCTTCCCAGCACCGAACTCCCGAGTCGCCTCCAGCACCTTTGGCTGCGGCTCTTTCGGCCGAGCTGACCGCTTCTGAGAGCTTTGAGACTGACCCTGTCGGACATCACTGGCCTGCGGCGGCCCAGGTCAGGTCACAAGAAGAACTCCAACAGGCCATTTGGATGGGGTGCCGCATTCCGCGGGCTGGTTGTCGCACTCCCCTGTCGCTGGCTGCCACCTAGTACTTCCGTCTTGTGACAGGAGATTTTTGGCTCAACGCCCGACTGCATTGCGAGATGAATCGCAGCAAGGTCGCTGTCGTAGCTGGTGTCTGCAATGCTGGTCTCTGCTTGCATCATTTGATCGCCAGCTTCTGGAGCCAGATACCCGACGCAATAGTATACCAGGGCAGGCGAAGCCTTGCATCAACTTTCAGTTGCTGAGACCGATGGAAGCGAATTTGAAAAACATAGTAACAACAAGGATCCCGTCTTCCTCTCCAAGTAGCCATCGCCTGCTGCGGTACATATTGCAAACTTGGCATATGCTGCAGCTCAGCGGAAGCAGCCTAAGTCTCCGAGCGCGTCTCTATGTCTGCGTGCAAGCCAGCTCTGGACAGAAACTTCTTTCATCCAAACGGCCGGCATCCAGGCAACTCCAGGGTAGCCTTGGCGACAGAACCAATTAATTGCAGCTTCCTGCACTCTTCAACCCTACGACGGCGGCGAGACACATGGAAAGTAGGCGTTGCCCTGCCACTGCTCAGATGCGGCCTGCGACCGGGCAGAATGCTTGCCAACATGACTCAAAGAACCTAGAGGAATCTACTCTTGGCTTGAAGACAGCTTGCAAGGCTTGCACAGATCCTTCTGAAAGGCCTGCTCAGGTGAGGCAAGGTCGTGCTCGTAAGTGTTCACTCGCTGAAGAGTGTCCGGGGTCACCGCATCAAGATCCTGCGCAGCACGGAGAAGCTTGTGAAGAAGACTTCACGTGGCGCGGTAGTAGTGACAAAATGCATGCAGCACGTGGCGGTGCCGCATCGCTACGCACGGCAGGACTGGCAGGTTCATGTTGCCAATTGTTCGAAGGTCCTCAGGGGTGCCAAAACCAATCTCCATGCCACCATGCGCTGGCGGACTCGGAGTCTGACAGTCCTGCAATCTCGCAACTTACAAAACTAATGCCGGAGGCTGCACCTAATCCAGAACCTCATGAGAGAGAGGGTGGTCATGTACAAACACCAAGGCTAACCATCTTCCTCACAACTGCACGTACTTAGGCACGATTCTACGTTGGACCGCCGTTCTGGAGTTGCACCGCATGCTCGTTGAGAGTGGCTGTGCAAGCTGTGCTTCTGTTACTGATATTGGTACCGATCACCATGCTGAAGCTGTTGTAGCTGTTGCACTTTCCGACATGGCCCGGTCCTGAAGACCCAACATGTAGTCGTCTTTGTGAGCCTGCGGGCTGGCCAGAGGTGTCACCTTCACAGCTCGGCGTCGCCATGCAACACCAGCTACAAGGATGCCTCCTGCCTTGTCATCATCGGATGCCTTGCGCTGACCCCGGAGGTACTCATACCTTGCATGTCATCTGTTTCCGGAGGTCCCGAAGGCCAGAGCTGGCGTTTGGAGTGCATCCGAAATACTTCACGCAGAAATCTGAAGCTGAACGAGCCCTTCGTGCGGGCTGGAGGAGGTCGTCTTCCACCTGAAGCTTCCAGATTTCAGAAGGTTTCTTGAGAAAGTCGGCTGTCGCTTGGAGAGTCGAGCTGCGTTGTCCCACGCCACCATGCTGTAGTACGCTGCCGCAAATCTTGAAACGCTGTGCTGATGTGGCGCTTTCACGGGTCGTATATGTTGCAACATAGCTCTTGCACTAATAACTAGTACCGTAGCTTATGTTCGCATCGTAGGAAGTGACTTGGTTTGATCAAGCTACAGGGTGTGAGTGTGGTGTTGGATTCAAATGGACTGGTTGGTGCAGTTCGGACGCCGCGCACCTGATCTGAAGGCTTTCTTGGGCACTTGGCTGCAGGATCACTATGACGACCAGGCCATCAAAAGTCCAAGATTCAGCTGCAGAAAGCCGCCTCTGCGAACTTAATGAAGGCAGAGCCCCGGTGGGCATTCTGGCCTGAACAGGATGGGCACCGAACTCTCGGCCAGGACGATCGCCCCATGTCGGCTGTGCCCCGAGGCTCCGAGGCCTGTCTTGTCGGCCACCATCTTGATGGAGCCTCGCCGGCGGGACGCTGGGCATTGCTGGCAGCGGTCTGCTTTCTGCCAGTCGCTTGGGGCAGACGCTCACCCGGCCGAAGCGCCGGAAGACCTGCGAAATTCCGCAGCTCCCGCAGCTCTCTGAGGCTCTTCGGACCGAGATTAACTGAGCATTTGTGCCTCTTTCAAGTCCCCCTCTTCTGCATCGAAAGGGACATTTCTCACGAAGATGGAGAGCCTCGAACAGTCGAGTTTCTCATCTCGGAGAGATGCTGAGAAACCGGCAGCACCCTTGCTCCACGTCGAAGCCAGGCTTTCTAGCTTTCGATGCCTGCGCCAACGTACAAGAGCTCCTTGATGGCAAATGCCGAGTGCCGGATATACTGGCCTTCGGCTTATCCTTCTTGGGCTTCGATCCAGCATCTTCGTCGTCTTCCCCGTCCTCCTCTTCCTCCTCGTCCTCGTCATCGTCTTCCTGCGAATGCCGCCACTCAGACGAAATGCGCAGGTGCGCAAGCAAAGCCCAGGGGCCCAAGGCCTCCACATCGTCGCCCAGCAGCTCCTTCATGCGCTTCACCTCCTGGTCTGGGTCCGGCTCCGGGTCCTGCGATCGTCGCCACACATCGCACACATCGCCCCGGACATCGCCCCACCTCGCCCGGCTCTGGGAGCGAAGAGCCCTCGGCTTTCTCCTGCAGCCCGAGTCCAAGCCTCCAGCTCCCGAGTCGAGACTGCGACTTGCGTCCTTCTGCTTCTTGGGCTTCGCATGCTTCGCATGCTTCGCTGGCGACCTGAAGGTGAAAGCCCACGCCCACGGCGCCCTCCATGCCCTTCGCTTCCCAGGACTCGGACGGCTCCGGCTCTTGCGGCGGCTCTTCGCCTGGGCACTCTGTGCGGAGGGCAAGCCAGCGGCGGACCTTGACGCCCTGAGCCGGCCGCTCAGCTTGCTGAACCTTGCGAAAAATGAAGTACATGAGACCCATCAGAGACCGGAGAAAGATCATGGCAAACCTCAGGTCCACACACTGACGCATCAACTGCCCAGTCCACGGCCACGGCACGTCCACATATCCTGCAATGTGAAACAGAAGGCTTCCAGGCATGTCAACACCAATCGGACTGGGTCGGTCCTCGAGCCATTCAGGCTTGCAACGGCCTTTTCCGCTGCCGAAGCCTCAGCTTCTCAGGGCTCCGGCGCGCTCCCCAGAGCGTCCCCATGCAAGTCCTGCCTCAGCATACTGCACGAATGCGAACCCGCGATGAGCCCCCATCTTGCCGTCCTCCAGAGTCTGCAGGACGGGCAGAAGATTACCAAAGAGAAACTGCGACTGCCGCTTGTCCAGCTCTCGCAGAAGTGTTTTTCGGAAGCCATGGACACTTCCAGGCTACTTCCAGGCTGGAAACGCGCTTCTCTGCAAATCCCCAGGTCGGCCATGCTCAGCACTGCAGATCGCGGAAGGGTCAGGGAAGAGTTACGAAAGTGTGGTCTGAGATCAGTTGCCAATGGCTGCGCCTCCGGTGCTCTGCATGATCAGCTCAGTCATAGCAGAAACGGACGGATAATCAAAAACGAGAGTAACAGGAAGTTGCACGCCAGGTAGGGCTTGAGAGATCTCCTCAGCTGCATGCACCCTTGGAATCTTGAAGCACAGGACTGCGGCACCATCCACCCGAAGGGATGCCCGACTGCCCGACTCGGAGTCCAAGCAGCATCGCGCATCAAAATGGCCTCGTAAAACCATTCAGAGATCTTTAGGGCTTTGGGGCTTTGATGGAACCCTTCTTTTGAGGCAACGACAGAGTTGCTGGTTAGACCCGCTTCCATGAGGGGTGTGTCCGCTTCGATCTCTCCATCATCGGCACCGGTGATTCTCAGCGCGATCTCCTTCACCTGGCTGGCCAAACAGGGGCCCCCCAACACCTACCAACACCTAGGCGCTAAACCCTATCTTGTCTCTGAAAGCGCCCAAGAACCTCCGACCCTGAACGGGCTGCAGGCCTTGTTGGTGATCACATCCAGGCTGAGACCTGCCTTGACATCAAGAGCAGGTCCTGCCGGCCCTCTTGCTGGAGCCTGCTTTGCAACGGCCTGGCGCCGGTTTACAACACAAACGCAACGAGCTCTGTGCACCGTGCACCCTTTACATCGAGTTGACAGCACCACAACCAAAACAAGTCCGCAACACCGCTTCTGGCGGTGCATCTTGGCCTGCATGCCGGCATTCCCAAAGTCACAGGCGCACAATGGAGGCGTTGGAACCAGAAGCAAGGATTTCAACACAACCCCAATGCAAAAGAAGCCGGAAGAGCCCTGAACACGCCACAAGAGGAAGAGGGTGGGTGATCGCAGTAGTGCCTTGCTGCTGTAGCCATACAGGGATTTGTCCAGGAGCTGCACCCGCTTGTGTCGGAGGTGGTGGGACAAACTGTGGCGCCTGTTGCTGCATGTACTCCTGGAAAGTAGCTATCACTTCCAGGGCCAGGTTTTCACCCGCATCATCCTGAACATGTCGATACAGAGCCAGTGCTTCGTCTGCTGCCTCCGCAGCCTCCCGGATCTGCTGTAGCGCCCTCAAGTTGTCACACGAGAGCATCAGCGCGTTGGCCTCTAGCTGGTAGCACAAAAGATCCCTGTAGATCAGCACGGCCTCATCTGCGCATGCCAAAGCCTCTTCGAATCGAGCTTTCAATGTCAAGCCTTGAGCTCTCGCGCAGAGCAGTGATCCCATCAACTCTGGGGCGGTGGAAAGTGCAGCGTTCTTCGCCAGCTTGATACCAGCTTCGGCAAGCTTGATGCCCTTTTCCAAGGCATCCCGCGCTTGCCGGGGGATCGGCTCGTCACCGAAGATCTTGGCTCCTTCCTTCACGGAGAGCCGTACTGCATTCTCAGAGATCATATACATGCATGCGATCTCACCCTCGGTCTTTCCTAATTCTCTGTACAACGCCCGTCCCTTCTCAGCAAATCGGATCGCGCTTTTGAACTCGTTCTTCTTCCACGCAATTTCCGCTTGCATCTTCATGGAATCTGCCTCACCTGGCATAAGCCCCTCATCATTGAAGATGCTCTGAGCTTTGGTGTTGTAGCTGGCAGCCTGTTCGACGTTGCCCTTTTTGAACTCCAGAGTTGCGCTGATAAGAAGAGCATGTGCAAACGCGGCCATGTCTTCTTGCTGCTCGAAAATCTCTTTGAACTCCAGAGACAAGTCAAGAGCTTCGTCTTTGTGGCCTCTGTGGTAGTTGGCTTCCACCAATATGTGCATGGCTTCGACTTTGTCCTCCGAAATTTTCGGAGTCGCAGATAGTTTTTTTAACATTGCAAAGGCATCCTGCGCCACGGCGATGCCTTTATCCAGCTGACCCATTCTCAAGCGAGCACGGCCGACGACAAGCATCAGCGAGGCCTGCGCTGCGACATCCCCAAGCTCTTTGCACACGGTGATACCCCGCTTGGCAGCCGTCAAGGCTTCCTCAACCCGGTTCGCCTTCACGTAAAGCTCCACGAGCATACGGACGGCATCGACCTGCGCTCGCTTGTTGTTCTGCTCCCGGAAGCGGCGTAAGGCTTCGGCAGCCACGAGACGTGCTTTGCGCAAGTCACTCCGGGCTACATGAGCATCAAAGACTCTTCGCAGTGCCTCGCAAGGAAGCACAGGTCGGAGTCAGACGTGTCTCATGAACATGAGAGTACAGCATCAAGGCCAGCCTTGACCTCCTGAGAAGATTGCAGCATTTGGTAAATTTCCAGGGCGTCTTCTGCATCGGAAAGAGCTCGGGCATGGTCTCCAAGCTTGATGTTCCACTCCGACATTCTCCTCACGGGAGTGCACTTCGGCTATCAGGCAAGTCACTCCTCGGATTTCTACTCTTCACTGTGCAAAAGCAAGTAGTGAGCGATGAGATCAGCCGTTGCCGAGCGGCATGAGCACACGAGCTTCCATGCGCTTATCCTTTGAAGCAGGAGAGCGAGGAACGACTTGTCGGAGGGTCATGGAGCGTCCAAGTGCACGCCAAGTCTCTCGCAACTCTAAGTACAAGTCCATCGCTTCATCTGCTGCATCTAGTGCATCATCGGGCGATGACACAATGCCACGAGCCTCTGCCATCGCAAAGAGGCACTCAGCCTGCCGGGCATCCCCGGGACGATGTGCAAGATGGGTTAGCGCCTTTGGTTTTGCACGGCCACGTAGCTTGCACGATACGATGGGTTGAGTGAAGCAGTACGGGCCGCTAACGAAGTTTAGGCGTGACGTCGCTTCTGTACAGTTGCCTCGATACGCTTGTCGTCAAACTCCTGGCATATGTCCCGCCTCAGCCATCTACCCAAAGCCCTCCTCTGCGACTGATGTCGCAGATGGGGTGCTGGAGAACTCATAGCGGGTCTCTACGGAGGACAACCAAGAAAGTCATCCGATGCAGCTGAATGGAAGGCAAAAGCCGTATCCACGACGTTAATCCACTAAACCGAGTCATCCGATGCCACAAAGTGAAAGCAAAAACCGTATACCCGATTTTAACCTACATAACCATAGAATCGCGTCTGATGAAGGATGGGACGTGGAAGCAGACATGAACACTCATGCGAACGTGCAAACATACAACACAGCCCGTCTCGCTCAGGATCTAAGTTTAAGTTCTTTTTAGCCCCGGAGCGGCTTTGTACAAGGGAGCTCTGGTATAACGACAGCTCATCCTTTGGGAGTTTGTGTTTGCATGTTTGGATCAAATTCTGGCCACAACTCTCAATGAAGCTATATCGGGAGCTTATGGGAGCCTCAAGGTCCCGGCATGGACTCTTCGTCTTTCGTCTGAGAGCCCTTTTTTGGCTCAGCTCCGCGGGCCGAGACCACACAAAAAAAACACTCATTGCGGCACGGCGCGTGGCCAATTCTCGAGCTATGCCTGTATTCCTACGTACATGTTTTATCGAAAGGAAGACTCGAGCTCTGCAAGTTAGCTTGAACTGTAGAGACACCTCCGCGAATAGTACTTCAACACTCCAAGGCATATCAAACCCCAAAACCAGCTTCTGGCTCAAGCAGATCCGACATCTTCTGCTCGCTTGCTCTGCCCACCGATGTGCGTCAAAGGCGCGCTTCGGTGGCATTCTTTAAAGCGGTCTCAACAGCGCCTAGATCCGAGTCCTTCTCCAGGTTGATCCCGGCCAAGGTGAGCAATGCTTTTGCCTGGGTGAAGGGCAAAGCGGCACAGGAGAGTGCCAGCATGCAGTGGTTTTCGGCGACGTCCTTAGGGTGGGCAAGTCACTTCCCACTCTTTGGCTCCTTGGTTCCTGAAAATGGACCTCGCTTCCTTGACGGAGCCGATGGCCTCTGCCTGAACGGCTCTCAAGAACATCTGGAACAAGTCTCAGCCCTGGGAGTGCCCTGGGTTGCCGAGATTAAAGCTTCAGCGCAAGCTTGAATCTGTGGCGTTTCGGACAAAGGTCGGCCATGCGCTGCAGCCACCAAATGCATGCCGACCCTCGAGCAGTTCCCTGCATTTTCTGAAATCAATGCAGCCGCTATCCACCCACCACATGGCAAATTCAGAGCCCAGCCGGCCCCCAACCCACCATTAGCGAAAATCAGTAAGACTCCGTCACTGATTCTCTTGCCGACCTTTTGTTCGGAGTGGCGTGCTGAAAGCCGATTGGTCTGAGCAAGTGCTCGCGCCGTTTCTGAAGGTGCCGAGAAGTAGGCGTAGGCAGTGGGTACAGTCGAGCTTGTATGGAAAACAAGAAGGCAACAAAAACCTGGCCACTGAAGCATGAGATATGACCTGATTCGATGTGCCTTCGCCTTGCCTTCCTTGGCGGAGTTGGCTTCTCCGAAGGAAGTTAGCATCTTGGCTTCGCCAATCTTATCCCCGACCTGATCGGGCAAAGAAGATGATCGAGAGGACACAAGCAAGGCAGCAACGTCCCCATCGCTCCTCTTTGAATCGTGCCAGCTCATCGTTAGCCAACTCTTGCGCGGCAGCATTTTCGCCGTTGCCGACCAGGGCCTTCACGACCTCACCGGCTCAGATAGCCCGGGCGGATGCCGGCAACGTCGCTGTGTCTCTGAGAGCTGGGCGAGCCGGGCTGCATCCACCGCCCCAGCGCTGTCCGCAGCTCTGAAGGCCTTCAAAGCTGCTCGCGCCTTCTCCGCCGCTTCAGCCTCGGGCGTCATCACCAAGGTGCTGCGACCAGAAAGCGTCTGCTGTGTTCACAGAACTCAAAAAAACACATTGCTCGGATCTCCAAAGTGTCAAACTGTTCTTGGCCAAGGAGGTCCTCTGCTTCCACAAAGAGCTCGCATGCCTCTTTGGAAGATCCGGTAGCCAACCCTTGATACTTCTCAGAGAGGAAGTCTCCTCGGCCCAGGCATTTCATGGCATGGGCTCCTCTGCGCTACCCGCAAAAGAGCACTCGAGTGAGGCGGAGGCCTCCGCCTCGGCAGATCTGCAAGGGCATCGTTAGCCACCATGCGCAGCTTAGACAATAACCGCAAGGCAAGTCGTCCCAACTTGCTGATGGGGCCCTTGAGCCTGGAAAAGCCATCGGGTCATGATCTCGCGTGACCCGCGTGGAGCATCACCCCGTGGTACCACAACCGCTGGTACCGCTGCCACCAGACAATGCATCTACGGTCTGCGAAAGTCTGCGAGTGTTTAGCCCACACAGAACCCAAGTTTCCCTCCTTCGAAGGCAGATGGACATCTGCCAGCTCGCCGATCTGCTCGAAAACCTCCCCGGGACGGGAGCAGAGAGGCCGGGGCCGCTGCTAAGCTCTGGCAGCCGGCGCCTTTCGAAGGTGCTTCCTTTCAAGCCCAACACTTCCAAACAAGCCCCACACAGCATGCAAAGCTCAGAGCACGCGGAGCTCAGTGCTCCCTCTTGTCTCCAAGCGTCTCTCTGGCGTCGAAGGACAGGTTGCGGACGATTAGTCGCCCCGCCTGCAGCAAAGCAGGCTTCAGATCCTTGTAGGAAAAACTACACGGCAAAAGCTGCAGAGGCCTTGCTGCTCTGACGACTGAGTTCTAGAGCTCGCAGTGAAGCCGTGATGGTGTGTCCTGCCACACCCGGCACGAGTTTACTACTGCAAAGCAGCCTCACAGACGCTTAGAATGTGCCAGGTTGGCCATTCATGTCGGCCCCGCTGAGGCTCTCAAGCCTTAGCATGGCATTCAACCGCTGTGCCAGGCCCTGGCGTGAATGAGAGCTGCGGTGTCCAGCATTGAAACACACGGACTATGAGTTTTGCACATCGCCTCAAGGCAGCAAGCTGACCCAGGCTATTTAAGCTATTTTTCCGACAGTGCCTTTCTGGATATTGCCGCTCAAGTTTGCATGCAGCATCTTACAATGATGACACACCCCAGGACCATCACACAATAAGATACATGCAGACATGCCACGATTGCCCTGCTATCTAGTTGAGTCAGGAAGTGACTGAATCAGACGCCTGTCCTGCGAGAGCAATGAAGCAATCAAGCATCTCTCATCTCTCCGTCAGCAAGAGGTCTGAGAGGGAGGAGAATCACAGACCCGAGTAGAAAGAGAGTAGTGAGTAGTGAAAACTGGTGCACAGAACGACGAGGAATGAATTCCTTGTGCCTTTGTCAAGGCTGTCTCTGCTTTGGAGATGCCCTGAACCATTGAAGAGTCCTCGTTTGTGGCTTCTGATCTACTAGATTACTAGAGCTTAAAGAAACCTAGAGTCAAGATTCGCCGATGACAGCTCAGTGCAAGGCGCTCGTCTCGCATTCTGATCCTTCCCGAACCGAGCAACAACAAAACAAGAATCGAGCAATCCAAGTCTTCTGCTTAGTAAAGCTTTTTCCGAAAGCAGAACTCTGCAGACAAAGAAAATCCACTGTTGTTAATGCGCTCGGCTTCGCAAAGCTATAAGAAAGCAGCTTCATTGAAGACCCTTGAAGTAGGCTTCCTGATTAAACTCGCTGTCCTTTCGAAAAGAAACGGTAAAGTCGCCGGTGCCCACGACCCGGCGAACGGCCTGGGGCAGCAGGAAACACGGCGCATAAATGCAGCCTGCGGCACCACACCTCGATCCCACATCCACCAGGGAGTCTCTCCTGGAATGGAGGGCCACTGAGAGAAACAGACAGAATTGCCACCACGTTCCTCAATCCACTGGCGAAGCTTTTCCTTTGTCATTGCTGGCCTTGGATCATGCAATGCTGTCACAACTGCGCTACTTTTAGCGCTCCATCTGAGGCGGTCGCGGCACGCCACCTAGCTGAATGCTGCGCAAATGTACGAGTCCTTTCGCTTCCTCGCGCTTTGCAGAAACTAAGGCTTAGCGATGCACGACGGCAAGCGTCCTGGTCCATCTCCGAAGTAGTAGCCTGCTTGCCTTTGGCAGACGCACCCCTTGGGACGAGGCAGACAACATGAGTGTTTTCGTAGCACTTGCGGGATTGGCGCACCGTTTCGGCTTCCCGGCTTGGACCTTTAAGCTGGAGCCGTTGAAATCGGTTCCGTTGAGCTCCTGCACTTTGAAGTGCACTGAAAGAAAGAATCCTGACATCTCCGGCACAGCTCCGACCCCACCCTTCCCGTCCGGTCCTGCAGGCATCTGCGAGCATCCTCGCAGAGATTGCTTGGTGGTCTCCTAGGTGGCCTGGCCTCAGCCTCCCCCCCCGCTCTCTGCTCTCTTCGTCCTCCTCCCTCTGGAACTTCGCGATGCCATAATCCTCAAGGGCATCTACAAAACTACAAGCCATGTAGAAAAAGACTGTGGGTCGCGGAAAAAACTCTGATGGACAAACTCCGACACGATTTAACTATGCATGGCGCAGGCGTTTCTCCATCAACGTTCTGTTGGCCGCTTGGTTCCGAACGTCACGAATGACGAAGCATGTGACGACAGCTCCCACTCGCGCCTCACAGTGAAACCAGAGCGGCTCGACCGCGAAGCGGCACACTGAGCTTGAAAGCCTCTAGGAAGACTCGGAGATCTTTGTCCTCGACTGCAGCTTGTCGTGCTGTTTATCTGCAAACCGCCACAACTTGCCCGGTCCGTCGTGCCCTCTGGTAGCCCGCGGATAAACACGCTTGAAGCATCACCTTGAGAAGCAACGAAAAAAGCTGTGTTAAAGGAGTGCGCTGTGAGCCCGAGGTCCGTGAGGTCTGAGGGCCGGTCTTTCTCGTGTTGTCGCCTTCTTGCCCTCAGCCTTGCCGCGATTTCAGTCGAGGCACGTGCTGTGCGAAGGACTCCCTGCCTTAGCATCGGCCTCCTTGGTCTCCTTGGGCTTCCTGGTTCTCACCGATTTTGAGCGAACCGAGGCTCCGAAAAACTTTCGGCCAGGCCTCCGTCCAGACTTCACCGGCCTTGTCCGACTCCCGCTCATGCGCGGCTTCGCGCGGCCATCTCATGCCATATCTTGTCGGACAACCGGAAAGGTGGCCGTGAACAGCCGCCGATGTCTTCAACCCGCACTGTAGGAGTAGAGACTTGCTCTGTTTTGGTCAGTGCCCGTCGAGCTCCTCTCTAGAAACATTCTAATCATTCTGTTACGTGCTGCACGCCATTGATTCATTCTGGCTTTGTAGCGATATATCTTCCATCCCGTTCTCCCGATCTTGTCAGAGCTTCAATTGAAACTGTCCCGTGTCTGCGCCGGGTCGGGCACACTAGCAAATATTTACTTACCCACACCCCCGCAAGTGGACAATCGTTAAAGTCTGGCAGTGCCAGCTGCGGAAGTACGATGTAAAAACTATGTGGCATGTCACGTGTCTTCACAAGAGCACTAGATTCAGTCTATGTCCTGTCCACGGCAGTCGCGCAGAACTACTTCGTGAGCGACTGCTTCCTGACATCCGTCTGCAAAGGCATCTGACCATTTGCGCCGTCCAGCACGTGCACCTGCATCTCCTCGTTCTATGCCAGCGACCTAGGAACAGCAAGCTACACCGACAAGGGCCACTCCATCTCGCATCTCTCAGCTTGTGGCCGCGCGCGGGCTCGCAGGATGTTCGCCAGGTCTCCTGAGCCAAGCGCAGCCACTGCGAACGCACGTGCAGCACTGCTGCAGAAGGATAGCATGAACCACAACCGAGCCCAGCTCTCATGCTGGCTTCATGGATTTTCGGAGCAAGCGCAGACGCTATGGTGTCCACCTGCCCAGTCGCAACTTGGCAGCATGAGAACTCTTGGCGAAGGTCAACTGAGCCGCCAACCAAAACTCCACGTTGTTGGTCCAGTCGTGCAGGTGTTCGTGCAGTGATTGCCGGGTGCTTGGGTGAAAGCTCTCCGGCTTGGATTCTCAGCAGTGAAGCTTGTCCGGTACTATCTGACAGGCTCGTGCTCCTCTACCTTTGAGAAGCCAATGCCCATGCCGACGCTGAAAGCTCGTCTGCAGTCAGCTGTCGCTCAGACAGGCAAGTTGCGGCTGCCCGATGTGCTCGGGAGGCGGGCTCGGAGAAGACCCACTGAACATCTCAGAGGCATCTCCGCATGGCTTCTGTTTCTGCCCAAAGTTGACTCCCAGCCCCAGCGCCAGCTATGGGCCTTGAACAGATAACTGCAAACCGCAAACGACACGGCATGGCATAGCATGGCATGGCATTTCATGGTATGGAGTACAGTATCATGGACTTGGATCTGCTTTGCAGCTTTTGCCTTAACAGCCTTAACACACCCACTTGTTTCGCTCAACGATGTGCCCTGCAGGCGTTACACCTGCATCCTCGGGGGTCTGATTGGTGAGCACACCCAGTGAGACATTGGGTGCCTGACTTGCCGACCCATGCCTACGCGTGACTTGGCTGGATATCTGGAAAGATGCTTTCCTCACATGAGGAGGTAAGTCTACCGCGATCTGGCCATTACTCAACGATATTCTGACAGGAAAGAACAGTACTGATGCAAAGTTGCAACTTTCCACGTGGCACTTTGGGGGAAAAACCACAGTAAGAATGAGATTGCTGCCTTTAAGCAGGACCTCCTGAACCTACTGTCGAAGCAGTCCAGAAAATCAGAGAAGCTCGGGCCTGCAAATCGCAATGCATTTGCCACTCAACATCGCGCACCAGCTAGACCGCTTGGTTGATGCCGGGCGCCCAGACTTGTTGAAGTAGACCCAGAACAGCACCGCAGGTCCCAAGCTAATGATGAAGACGGCCTCGACTGTTCCGACTAGCTTCGTGCATCTTCGTGCTCTGAGTGCCAAAGCGTGAGCCCGAGATAGCCCAAGCCATACCAAGCCCCGGACCCATCCAAGCTGGAGCAGAGCGTAGCCTGAGTTGCCTGCCAGAGCAACCTGGGGCACGGCCTGGGCTGGTCAGAGAACAGATTTCTGGAGGCGCGGGTACCCAAGACTCCGAGACTTCGACAGCGACGGCAGCTCCCAGAAGAGCTGCTTCCACGGGCGCCTGCATGCGCCAAACCCGGGACGCGATCCGATGACCTGTGAACGGTAACGCCTGTCCGCGCAACTGCGGCTGCTCCACCACGGGCCTTGCGGTAGCCACTGTCGATCGACACTGATGCCAGTGTCAGCTGAGGGATGAACTGGCTCTTGGGCGCCACAAAGCAGGAGAATCCCCAGCAGGCCTGCTGCCCAGTCAAAGCTCAGAACTCTCCCCGAGATGCACTGAGAACCCGACCACCGCCGCCATCAGGACGGCGGCCACCAGAACGGAGCTGCTTCGGCGGGCCATTGTTGGGTGGCAGGCAGCCTGACCCGAAACAAGACGCACGCTGGATAGCAGCTACACCAGGATGACCGGGGCGTGGACAAGTGCAGAGCTTAAAAAGCGTGTGGCAGGCGAGCCAATGCTGCGTGACAGGTTGACAGAGTCCGGGGGAGGAAATGCAGGGCAGGGCTGACGCACGTTCATGTCAACACAAACGTGATTGAGAAGCGCTTCGCTGGATTTTTGCGATTCTCCCCCGCACTATACACCGCTGCACTTTGCCGTGAAGCCATCGCCAAGTGACTCATCACAGCCTGCACAGGCTGAAATTCTCTTCGCCAGCATGAGTCGTACAGCGGAAGCTGCAGCCCAGGCACGGCTCACAGCAGCTCAGGCCTCACGTCCAAGCAACATGCTGCAAGCTCGCCGTCTCTGAGTTTCTGCACTCAGCTCTGCGACTGAATGCAGAACGGCAATCCGGCAGCTAGGCCCGTTCCAGGTTTGCCGGGCGCCCAGACTTGTTGAAGTAGACCCAGAACAGCACCGCAGGTCCCAAGCTAATGATGAAGACGGCCTCGACTGTTCCGACTAGCTTCGTGCATCTTCGTACTCTGAGTGCCAAAGCGTGAGCCCAAGATAGCCCAAGCCATACCAAGCCCCGGACCCATCCAAGCTGGAGCAGAGCGTAGCCTGAGTTGCCTGCCAGAGCAACCTGGGGCACGGCCTGGGCTGGTCAGAGAACAGATTTCTGGAGGCGCGGGTACCCAAGACTCCGAGACTTCGACAGCGACGGCAGCTCCCAGAAGAGCTGCTTCCACGGGCGCCTGCATGCGCCAAACCCGGGACGCGATCCGATGACCTGTGAACGGTAACGCCTGTCCGCGCAACTGCGGCTGCTCCACCACGGGCCTTGCGGTAGCCACTGTCGATCGACACTGATGCCAGTGTCAGCTGAGGGATGAACTGGCTCTTGGGCGCCACAAAGCAGGAGAATCCCCAGCAGGCCTGCTGCCCAGTCAAAGCTCAGAACTCTCCCCGAGATGCACTGAGAACCCGACCACCGCCGCCATCAGGACGGCGACCACCAGAACGGAGCTGCTTCGGCGGGCCATTGTTGGGTGGCAGGTAGCCTGACCCGAAACAAGATGCACGCTGGATAGCAGCTACACCAGGATGACCGGGGCGTGGACAAGTGCAGAGCTTAAAAAGCGTGTGGCAGGCGAGCCAATGCTGCGTGACAGGTTGACAGAGTCCGGGGGAGGAAATGCAGGGCAGGGCTGACGCACGTTCATGTCAACACAAACGTGATTGAGAAGCGCTTCGCTGGATTTTTGCGATTCTACACCGCACTATACACCGCTGCACTTTGCCCTGAAGCCATCGCCAAGTGACTCATCACAGCCTGCACAGGCTGAAATTCTCTTCGCCAGCATGAGTCGGACAGCGGAAGCTGCAGCCCAGGCACGGCTCACAGCAGCTCAGGCCTCACGTCCAAGCAACATGCTGCAAGCTGCAATCCGGCAGCTAGGCCCGTTCCAGGTTTGCCGGGCGCCCAGACTTGTTGAAGTAGACCCAGAACAGCACCGCAGGTCCCAAGCTAATGATGAAGACGGCCTCGACTGTTCCGACTAGCTTCGTGCATCTTCGTACTCTGAGTGCCAAAGCGTGAGCCCAAGATAGCCCAAGCCATACCAAGCCCCGGACCCATCCAAGCTGGAGCAGAGCGTAGCCTGAGTTGCCTGCCAGAGCAACCTGGGGCACGGCCTGGGCTGGTCAGAGAACAGATTTCTGGAGGCGCGGGTACCCAAGACTCCGAGACTTCGACAGCGACGGCAGCTCCCAGAAGAGCTGCTTCCACGGGCGCCTGCATGCGCCAAACCCGGGACGCGATCCGATGACCTGTGAACGGTAACGCCTGTCCGCGCAACTGCGGCTGCTCCACCACGGGCCTTGCGGTAGCCACTGTCGATCGACACTGATGCCAGTGTCAGCTGAGGGATGAACTGGCTCTTGGGCGCCACAAAGCAGGAGAATCCCCAGCAGGCCTGCTGCCCAGTCAAAGCTCAGAACTCTCCCCGAGATGCACTGAGAACCCGACCACCGCCGCCATCAGGACGGCGGCCACCAGAACGGAGCTGCTTCGGCGGGCCATTGTTGGGTGGCAGGTAGCCTGACCCGAAACAAGATGCACGCTGGATAGCAGCTACACCAGGATGACCGGGGCGTGGACAAGTGCAGAGCTTAAAAAGCGTGTGGCAGGCGAGCCAATGCTGCGTGACAGGTTCACACGCAACATTCGACAAGGCTTCACTTTCTCCAAACTATGCATTAGCACTTCATGTCTTCAAAGTATGCTGCTCAACTGCATCTCTTCGCTTTTCATGGCTGTACGCAGGCCATGGTATGATTCTCCTTTCAGAGAGCCATGCTAAGCTCACCGGCGTGCACGTGCACCTTGCCGAGCACATGCTGGCCTTCGAAAAAGCGTGTCAGGCGGCCTTCTCAACCTGACAATGGGGAGGAAGCAGCAGGAACGCAAAACTGTTGCTGACCTAGCCGCTATACAAATGAGACGAGCGACAACTGGCTCACAGCAGCTCAGGCCTCAAATCCAATTCACATGCCCGCAAGCTCTGCGACTGAATGCAGAACGGCAATCCGGCAGCTAGGCCCGTTCCAGGTTTGCCGGGCGCCCAGACTTGTTGAAGTAGACCCAGAACAGCACCGCAGGTCCCAAGCTAATGATGAAGACGGCCTCGACTGTTCCGACTAGCTTCGTGCATCTTCGTACTCTGAGTGCCAAAGCGTGAGCCCAAGATAGCCCAAGCCATACCAAGCCCCGGACCCATCCAAGCTGGAGCAGAGCGTAGCCTGAGTTGCCTGCCAGAGCAACCTGGGGCACGGCCTGGGCTGGTCAGAGAACAGATTTCTGGAGGCGCGGGTACCCAAGACTCCGAGACTTCGACAGCGACGGCAGCTCCCAGAAGAGCTGCTTCCACGGGCGCCTGCATGCGCCAAACCCGGGACGCGATCCGATGACCTGTGAACGGTAACGCCTGTCCGCGCAACTGCGGCTGCTCCACCACGGGCCTTGCGGTAGCCACTGTCGATCGACACTGATGCCAGTGTCAGCTGAGGGATGAACTGGCTCTTGGGCGCCACAAAGCAGGAGAATCCCCAGCAGGCCTGCTGCCCAGTCAAAGCTCAGAACTCTCCCCGAGATGCACTGAGAACCCGACCACCGCCGCCATCAGGACGGCGGCCACCAGAACGGAGCTGCTTCGGCGGGCCATTGTGTCGTGAGTCCTGAAAGTTCCGCCGGTCGGCATTCGCTTCCCCCGTCAGTCGGACTGAGAGAACGACTTCGCGCGCGTGGTACCGTGGAAAACAAGACAAGCGAGCCAGCTCTGATGGCGGAAAGGCTTACGGTTCATGCACGTTCCCCTGCAAAGCTCAATAGGGATGTTGTGAGAGTTGCGCAACCCCTAATGGTTTCGTGCACCCAGCTTTCTTTTCGCATTCACCGACAAGCTCAGCCGACGTGGGTGCCCGAGCACTCCGTCACAAAGCGCTTGTAAAGCCTGGCCAGTCATGGAAAGGGAAAAGAAAGGTTGTGGGTTTGCAGTAACGTTGCCAAGGCTCGCAGTGGCATGCCGCTCTCTTGCTTCTCCCAGGAGTGTCCTCCGGAAGGTAACGAAAGCATCAGAAGCACGGGTACTGCGCACGACCGGCCTGAAGGGGCCATCTGGGCACGACTTCAACACCCCGAACTTCGGCGGCATGCGGATGCTTTGTGGTGGAAGCCTCCGAGCTCGTATCAAAAGAGTTACAGTATCCGATAACAGAGCTCGCCAAGGCCGGGACGATTCACCTGAAGGCGCCTGCAACGACTTTGCCAAGTCCGGAGCCAATGAAGTCTTCTCACTCGTTCCGGCAAAACCGTGTTCTTCGTGCTCTCCGAGCCACATACTTGAAGGTATAGACCTCACAGCTAGCGAAGAGGAAGAAAGGTCTGTCACCTGCCGTCTTTCGCATCTGAGCTCGCGTCCATGTCAGCCTCGGCCCGCTGCACGTTGTAGCCCTCGCCCTGTCCAGGCCGACGGTGCCTCGCTGCACCACGATCATCATCGTCTCGCATGGAAAAAGTCTCTACGGACCCCACACATCGCGCTTGTCCCCATAGGAGCGACCATAGCGATGCAGGTGCCATTCCCTGAAGGGCATCCTTGCAAGGGGAGACTTCTGGACGCACGCACGAAGGCCACCATGCTGATATCAAGCACACATGAGCACCAGTTGAAACTTAACTCGCCGCGTCTGAACCACAACACGGCGTCGGGTTGTTAGCTTCCCCGTTCTTGCGTAAACATGGGCCTTCCACAAAACCCCGGATTGCTGTTTGTGTAGCTCTTCCTTTTTTTTCCCGGTCCAAGGACTCGATGGCACGTGGTTGTCATTTGGCACAACTCTGCAATTCACCGACAGAACGAAGAACAACAAGTAAAACAACAGGTGAACCATGCCAGCCGAGTAGCGTCTCAATGTGAATGAACTCGTTCTCCTGTGCTGACTCCGTGATGTAGAACCATCTCACCTTGCAGGTAGGCACACACTCTGAGCCACTGGGCCAGGCGAATGAAGCCAAATGCAGTCTAGTAGCTCCAACAGCACCTTTGCTTGAGGAGACCTGGGCTTGCGTGACGGCGTAACGCCGTAACGTGACGAGGCCCAGGCCTCGTCCCCCTTCCGAATGCGAGCGAGACGCCTTGACCAGACCTCCGGGCTTCATGAAGGAGCGCAGAGCTCTGAAGAAGAGTCTCATGAGGTTCTCATGGCGCCAGTTGACGCATGGATGACCTCGGAACCGCTCCGGTTTCGCGGCCTAGCAAGCCAAGAACCACACCAGGTGTAGGTCGCAGACCGTCGAAGAAGCCGCTGACGGCACCCGCGTGAGGAAAGTTGTAGTACACTGCACCCAGGCTGCCCTGTGCAGCCGGTCAACAAGAGGTTTTGAATGCGAAGACAAAGTCGCTCCAGTAGTAACAGGTCAGCACTCTCACAATCCAAAACCTGGTTGCGGTCTTTCCAGTTGCTCGTAGATGACACTGAAGGTTAGGAGCTGGAATGCTTGCCGTGGCCTCCATGCCATGGAACCGGCTGTCAACTGCAATCCGAGTGCAGTCCACACCATGGTAGACCTGCCACAGAGTTGCAGTGGTCATCCACGCCACGCATCCTAGAATACCAGCAGGCCTCTGAGCAGAGGTCTTCCAGCGTCTTGATTGTAGAATCGATTTCCTGGCAGACGTTCATCAAACAATAGTGCTTGCCCACAGGAAAGGCTGGGAGCCTTCTTCCAAACTCGGGAACCCGTTCAGCCACACAACGAAGCATTTGCCGACTTGGCGAACACTCAAGCGCCAGAGCTGTGAAGCCAAAGTAAAACTGCATCAAACATCGCGACACTGAGGGTTCGTCATGCATAGACAGATCTGAGCGTCCTATATATGTGAAAGCACTTTGCAGACAGTGCCTGGTAGCGTTCTCGAAGGCATTCGAGGGTCTCAAAGGTAGTTGCAATGACTCTTCCCACATGGCCCAGTGCCTGCACATTCCAGGGCACGAGACCGAACAGAGGACATTACATGATATTGGGGATGTGACCTCTCTGTGCTTTGCCAACATCAGGGCCTTAGTTGCAAACCAGGTGGGAAGCTGCATGGTCGCGAGGTGGCGTGAGCATGCCGCCAAGCCACGAAGCTCAGGTTAGCGTCCCCAAACACTGCAGCATCTGCCAAGGGATCAATGAGCTCAAGTCGGTTGAACCTGAGTCATTCTCCAATGCTTTACACTTATCAACTCATCCCGTAGAATTGGCATGGATATCACGTTCTTTCAATGCAAGTGGCCGCGAGATCACATGTACTCCTGGCTCATCTGGCAGAGTGCCTTCTGTGACGGATTCGTCAGCCACGGAGGCACTAGCCTGTGGGAGGAAGTCCTCAACGATATAGTCTGTGTGCGACACCCTCCATAACTCACACTCATGAAAGCATGAACCGATGTCCTCAAGCGATATATCACCATTGAACTCCTCTTCGAACATTGCAAGAACGCTCGTCCGCATTACTATGAGTGCTTTGGAGTGTTCATCCCTCCTGCATGACGTACCGCAGCTCTTTGTGAGTGATTTTCCGCAGCATTGCCTGCAAGCAGGAAGCAGACTGCAAGACAAAAGTGTTGGTTCTTCTCCCAACGGCTATCGAACTCTCGTGCCTCTTCATCAATGTTCATTTTCCATCTGTGTCTGAATGACAGAACTGAATCGGCAGATCCACCACCCGGGCCCACTCCTTAGGTGCAAAGAGACTTCGACACTTTCCGAGCAACTTGAGCTTGGCCACTTGGATCCACTTTTCTACTTCCCGCAGAGCCACGCTCTTTGATGGCGGCAATCTGGCAGATGATCAGTTCCCCAGGGCCCCGCATCCTCGGTGTTTCCCGCTCCCCGCTCCGACAGGACATGTCTTGCATGGAAAATCAAACATGGACGTGCCCAGCAGCTGATTGAACTTATCGGGGACGTAGGAGTCGTCCAACAACTGCAAAAATGTCACGAAAAGCGAAGGGACCGCCAAAGCCACACACGGTGCAGCTCAGCCATGCTCAGCCTTCAGCTCGTCCGGAGTCAGGGTCTCCAGAACGTGCCTTGTCACTTTGTCCTTGCTGTCCAGACGCGAGAAAGCTGCCCCCGAATATTCAATCGGCCCTGATCTCTCCTGTAGCAGCCCCCAGCGGGTCAGCAGCTGCTGGATTCTGGCCTGCAGCGGCGAAAACCGAGCGTACGTTCTTGAAAACGGCTGGAGATTGGCCTCATCAGCTGCGGGGGTTGCTGAGTCCTCGAGAACCAGTTTGGGTTCGCACAACAACAGAGGGCAGTTGTTGCCTCGCCTTCTTTGTACGTCGCTTCTTGCCGTTCAAAGCCTCTTCTGGTGCCTGCCAGCAAAGGTCCAGCTAATTGCAGGCCCGATTATAGCTCTTCCCTGCCTGGCAACTACGACGGCATTCTGAATTTGTGGCTCGTGTGCATGACAGCCATAGGGCCATGTCTTCTTAAGCACCTATCGTGTGGTGTTCATGCTCTGCAGCGGCTGCACCTCGTCATCTTGAGACAGCAATCGCTTGAGTCGCAATGTGCCTGAACTCACCGGGGTCTCCTCTAATCCAACATGCCACATGCCTGACTCATCTTGACTCCAAGACCATCGGACTGAAACCATTGGCTTGGCACTTTTCGAGGCCTTCGACTGCATCCATGAGGTGATCTTGAACTCCTTCGTTGTCCTCACGCGCGACGGAGCTGAGACGGAGGCAAGGTTCATCTGCAAAAACCGCCTCGTCTTCGTCGTCGTCCAGCACTACGGCCTGATGGTCAACGCACAGTGCAACCACTGGAACCAGGGACCTGCGCGAATCGTCCACTCGCGCACCTCCTGGACTTCCTCCACACCCAGCTCGGCGAGGACCTCCTCCTCGAGCTCCAGCTGCTCCTGGAAAGAAACGGATGCGAAGAATCGAAGAATAGCTGTTGTGGCGGAGCGGCGCTCCTCCGGCAGCTCCTGGAGCTCGGCCTCGGCCTCGACCAAATCAGCCAGCTCCGCCGGGTCCTCAAAACACGGGGCCACTCGCACCCGCCGCGCCGCTGTGCCGCTGAGCTGATGCCTTTTTCGCTGTCCTCTGCCAGGGCGGCTTCTGCCAGCAAGAGCTCTTCGACGGCGTTGCCATCCTCAACAGTCTGGGCTCCGTCCACCACTTCGGACTCCTCCCGAGTGCTCGAGCCGTCGTGCAGTAGGCTGCCCATTTGCGGCTACGGCAACTGCCTCGAGAGCCTTCTCCAGATCTCCGTCATGATACTCCTGGAGAAATCACACTACAGCATGTCCACAAGACTCGAGTGTATCCAAGATGTAGAGGCCCGCGCCTGAACCGCTGCTACATCCGCTCCGCTTTCAGAATCCATCTCGACTACCTGACCACGTTCCGCCACCGTGCATCGCAGGACTTCCCGCAAAGATACAGATGCCACCTGCCCCGAGGCTTGCGGTGAGGCTTGCAGCTCCGCGTGCGACTCTGAACTTCGTTCAAAGCTTCAGGTCCATTGCTGTCAACTAACTCACGAACTCATTGCGTTGAGAGACGCCACCCCTGCCCCTCGCTGTCTTGTAACGATGTTGAAGTAAGGAGTGAGTGAATCTTCTCAGTGTTCAACTGATACACAACCCTGGCCAAGTGACATAGGTCTTGAGACTGAGATTCTGCGGCAGCTGCGACAGTCCAATCGCCTTGACATCTAGAACAAGCTTCGCAAAGCGGCTTGGCTAGCATGCTCTGAATGCGAGACCGCCCTCTCTTTGTCGCGCTTTTTTGCTCTGAGCTTGTGTCAAGACTGAGCTTCATAAAATGCCGAGGAGGCATGTTGAGCTGGTTCTAATCCTGACTACAGCGCGTCCATCAACTCAGGTGATGAGGTGGAGGCGCGGATAAAGCAAACCAACTGCAGCTAATCAGAGCTGATTGCTTGTCTTCCGCAGCGAGAGAACTAGCTGCTCTTGTCGGTGAAACCATGTGCTTACGGCCATGAAGACTTCTCACAAGGTTTCAGTCTCATGTCTCCAGGATCAGAAAAGACCGCTAGAAGTCTTCAGGACACACGCGGAGCTGCGTCGTCGAGGCTTTGAGTAGTTCGAAGAGACACGTGAGGAGCAGAGAAAGTCACGAGGCCGTCCGAGGAATCTAACCTCGAGAATCAAGCACGCTCAAAATGACAATATCCCACCAGACGATGAAGCCCTGCCGCCTTTGCCGTACGATTTTCCACCCATCATTGGCCTCCGCTCAATGTCGGTTCGAACAAGCTTCCAGGACCGGCGAACATGCACAGCATCGCTGAGAAAGCTGCATCTTGCCACCCATCATGGGTCCTTTACCTGTTCACAAATCACGACAGTGAGGCCAGTGTCCAGTATGCCACGTTCGCCGTGATGCGCACGCAATAAGGACCAACTTGCTGTGCCTCCACAAAGGCCACCTTTCCCACCGAAGCCCTCAGAAGTGCGTGCCAATAATAATCAAAATAACATGCCTGCAGTTTGAGGGAAGGACTTCCGACAAGCTCTGAGACTCTTACGCCTTTGCCCATGCAGCCGCAACCTCCTTTCCCACCGCATGGACCGGGGCCACAGCCCCCGCAGCAGCCACCACCGCCATATCCTCCAGACTCACCACCGTACCCGCCTGGACCGTTTGGAGGGGGGCCGCCAGGAGGACCACTCGGAGGACCACAGCCGCTGAGCTCGCCAAAGCAACACCCCCCTCCCTTGCAGCCCTTGCTTCCGCACGGGCCGCAGCCACCAGGGAAACCTGGGCCGGGCACATCGAAGTGCATGGCAGCGCACAGCAAAAATGCTGCCAGCCTCCACAGCCACAGCCACCTTTTCCTCCTGAATGCTCAGAATAGGACTTAAGACACAGCATTGTATGAGCCGGCAAAGCTCCTTTCATGTCTCCTTTCATGTCACCCATCATCATGCCACTTGGCGGAGGCATGGCGCTGAGTGGTTTGGGTGGACCTCTGCAAATTTGGCTATAACACAATCCACACATTCATGAAGGCGCTGCGAACTTGATGCCTGCAGCCTTTGTGAAGGTCTTGTTTTGCATCTCCTCTTTCGTCGGAATGGCCTACAGGGATAAAAGTGACTGTCATTCCAGCATGGACGAGGATTGCAAGAGCTAGAGGCTACAAGTCCAACCTGCATCTTTGGATGGCCTTCCTCACCATTGCGTGCACACAAAGGCAGCACCAGTTGTGCACTCTCTGCGCTAGTGTTCAGCCACGAATAATTCAACCGGAGCTGCTGCCAATCCGGGCACAGGCACTGGCACACCCATCATTTTGGGTATGCCCTCCTGACACTAGCAGAAACCATCAAGCGTCCAACGCGACTTCATGCACCACTTCCCACTGGCTGTGCAAACAAGGCTCTAAGCCAGGACAACCGCCGCATGGGCCGCCAGCACCGCAGCCAGCAGGCTCCGCTGGCGGCTGTGGCTGCGGCTGCGGCTGAGGCTGTGCTTGCGGCTGCTGTTGCTGGGGCGGAGGCTTGAAAACAAGGGCCGCGGTGGCCTGTTCCAAGAACTCCTGTCTGAAAGGCTTCCCAGGATGCACAAAACCATCAATGTCGGTGCATTTCTGTCCTGCTGCGCCTCTGGGGCGACCTTCGGAAGCCACCTTTGACAGCATTCCCACGATTGCTTTACTTCTTCGCTCAGACTTGCGACCCGGTGGTTCTGCCGAAGCACTCCGACATGACCTGCCGCATTTCTTCAGCAGCCTGCTCTTTTCCCATCAGGGTGTTCCGGACGGTCTCAATCGCCTTGCACACACATAGAACGAAACTGAATGCAAGGTCCATGCTCGTAGCAGGCCTTCGAAACCCGAAAGCGGGCTACTTGTTCCTGCTGCTTCCTGTCGCGGCAACATGACATCAACTGTGTTCCCGACAAGCAAGACACGCTGCAGAGAGCTTCGAGCCTCTCTAGATCCGTCATCTGATTTTCTGCCTTTTTCAAGGCCTCTTCGCGCTCTCTTTTCAGAGCAGCCTCTTTCTCCTGTGTCAGGGTGCCAGAGCAAGGGACTGGCTAGCAGCTGGCAGCTGCCGGCTGGCGGCCCTGTCCTCTCTAGCCTTTTTATCCTGCTCCGCAAGCTTGTCGGCATGGTTGCGGTGCGTCCAGTTGAAAACCTAATCGGCATTGCGCACATGATGAAAAATGACCCTCATCTTTCCAACTACAAAGCAGCGGCTGCTATTCTGATCCGATGCACTCCGTCTTGTGGATAACTGCTGATGGACTCTGAAACATCCCATGCATCCCGAGGGACCGTTGCCGGTCGCATTGGTGCCGCCATCATCGGCACGGGCGCCGCCGCCGGCATCGGCGCAGACGCAGGCTCGGGTGGCGGCGCTGGCGCAGACACCGGCTCGGGAACCTCCCAGGCTGGGAACCCTTTAAAGCCGCTTTACAAGACACCAGCGACCAGGGGGCGAGTGTGAATTGCAAAACAATGCAATGTGACAAAAGGTGCGGGTTAAGTAAAGGTAATCTAACGTACTGAATTTTGCAATCCTGTAATTGTGTGTGCCAGTAAGTATCTTTGCACGTACATCATGTATGCATGCACAGAAACAAATAGCACAAAAGCAAACAACAAACTGAACAAGCAAAAATTATCCACATCTGGTACCCTGCAAACAAACAGTATGATTACGCCAGTATGCTCAAAAACTCCACGCCAGAGCTCCTTGTACATCGAAACCCAAAAGTTCCGGTTGGGAAGGATTCTGTTTTAGGCTTTGAGAGAATTCGAGAAAGATTGGAAAGTGCTTAACGCAAATTACCGCAACATAGAGTAAGTGTGATCAGCATTCCAGAGTTTCAGACATCCCGATTTGCACAGACGAATGATTGCAGACTAGAGGAGCCAGATCTTCTCCACCCAGCGGTCAATTACAGTAACAATTTCACAGTTCCAGATTTCACGAACCTAAGAGCTAAAAACTCCAGACTTTCAAATTTGAACATTCAAGATTTCCAGAACTCCAGATTTGATATGCCTAGACAAGTCTAGAACACCGGTGGTCGGAATTCAAACCTGGAATCAATCCAGAATATCAAGCCGTGAATTCTGGAATTGCTAGGTTATGAAAATCTGAAACTCTGGAGTTCTGAATCTGGAATTCGGACGTTCATGAGTCTTGGGTTGTGGGAACGCATCCATCAGGAAGAGTCGTCCCTCGATATTCAGCGCTAAAGGCGGATTTCCACATGATGAGATTGACAAGTCAACATTTAGATTCTACACAGCTTCAAGACCCTTTTTCCTCGGGCGGAAGTTTAAGAAGCACGACTTAAGTCGAACGGCTGCGGTCGAGACTTGCCTTGCAATGTGTTCGGAATGAACAGCTTACGAACTATCGAAAAACCTTGCTCATCACAACTTGAGCTCGCCAGTTGTAGTCCTCATCTCGATACATCACGGTACCATGTCGTGTCTATCTTATCCGGCTCTCTCCGCATTACAAATCCTAAATTTATGTGTAGATTCCAAGTCCCTTGGGCACCCGCACTTCTTAAAAGTAGCATGTCAAACATCATCCCTGCTCATCCTCCATGTACCTCGCAACAAAACCCACATAGATATGCATCCGCAGCAACTGTCGGACTATCGGTCCCGGTGCGCAAACAGGAACTGCTGACAGCGCCACTACAAGTTGCATTCTGGCTGTATGTTATTCCGCGTTCTGCCGGCATGACGACGACGACAACTACGACCCAGCGAACTACTGGCTTTTCGGTGGGAACGTGGTGCTTGTGTTCTAGCTTCAACTGCGAGCCCCGAAACGGCACATCCCTGCCAGGGAGTGTCTACTACCAGGGGCGGGACATGAATCACGAAAAACAAATCAAATAGGGACTGGTTTCCGCTGCATTGCACTGAAAATGAGTATAAGGCGAGGACTGTGAACCCTGAATATTACAGTTCTGACAGAAGAAAACCATATCTCCCAACCAGCAGCCTTGTTTTGGAACTGTTCATCTCCTCATCTAAACATATCCCTGCCCAAGAAGTGACAATCAGTTCCACTTCCTCCCTGGGGCGTTTCGGTTTCTGACTTTCTTACCGAACATTCAAACAAGAAAGACAACATGGCTCTGTAGGGCGAAAACACACACCCAGAGCGCCGACCAGGGCTTTGGATTTGTGTGTTTTGTGGTTGCCGTCGTCGTATGGTCTGATTTACATGTGTCTTTCTCTTGATGACACACACATTAGGGATTAAAGCGGAGCGTGGGGCGGAGGGCTTGGGCGGTGTAGCTTCACGACATGTTGGTTGCCCTTGATCACACCCGTTTCAACGAATAAGGTGGGCATGAGTGTGCACCACTTGGGTGATGTTCCCATTGAGCACATGTGCCGTGGGATTGTAAACAGACATGACTTGAGATCATCCTTGAAGACTATGCCAAACGCGAGTCCCTCCGAACAGGTGTGGTATTTACGGTGGAAAGAGACCAAGGTAGGGGAGTGTCCATCAAATAAATACACAAATTAATACACATATATATACCATACATATATATATATATATATATATATGCTAGCCCCCCCCCCAAGACCAACCCTGAATTCCCTAAATTCCCTAATTCCCTACCCATTGGATTTAGGTATTTCCCTAAATTCCCTAAATTCTCTAATTCCCTACCCCATGTGTTGGATTTGGGGAATTCCCTATTTCCCTAAATTCCCTAAATTCCCTAAATTCCCTAAATTCCCTAAATTCCTTAAATTCCTTAAATTCCCTAAATTCCCTAAATTCCCTAAATTCCCTAAGTCTGACCCCCATGGAGAAGATTCAATGGTTTCCGTTCATGGGTAGGGAATTTAGGGAATTTAGGGAATTTAGGGAATTTAGGGAATTTAAGGAATTTAAGGAATTTAGGGAATTTAGGGAATTTAGGGAATTTAGGGAATTCCCCAAATCCAACACATGGGGTAGGGAATTAGGGAATTTAAGGAATTTAGGGAAATTAGGGAATTTAGGGAATTTAGGGAATTCCCTAAATCCAACACATGGTCCGGGCTGGGAGTCAGGAATGTTAGGGAATGCGCTAAAACCAACACATGGGGCTGGAATTAGGGTATGTAAAGACTTTAGGGATTTAGGGAGTCTGCAGGAACTCACGCATTCTGTAAACTCGAGGCATGGAAGCAGTGATTAGAGAATTTAGGGAACTCGACCTCGCGACGTCGCCGGTTGACGTGTCTGTGCAACTGATACTTGTAGTAATATTGATATTATTTTGAAAAAATTTGAAAACTATAATACTCATACGAGTACTAATACTTATAGTAATACTACTGGTGAAACTGATAGTATGCTAGTATGAATACTGATGTTCCCAAGAATACTTGAAATCATGTACATTGTATGAATAGTCTTGATGCGAATACTAATATACATACTATAGCTAGTATTATCGCTAGTATGAATATTGGCTATGCATATTCGTGAAATTACTCATTTTTGGAGTACTCATATTCATGCTAATATTAGCACTAAGGCTAGTGCGAACGTGCATAATAACATGCTCATACATGAATGTTAGCATTCGTATTAATATCAGCATTGGTATGTTTTTCAGTAGTACTAGTAACTCATACGAAGTGTAACCTCAAGTTTCATATTCCGACGAATACCAACGCATGTTTTGTTCATACTAATTTTAATTCTACTACTAGTATCTACTCCTAATATTGAAAAAACTGTACTAATACCAATTTTAGAATTGATGTGAACACGAACTCTAATGTTCTTGCCAATACTAATATGCATAGTAATATTAGTTAGCATTAATGTATAGGAAAACTAATGTTCTTACGAATACTAATAATCATGTTCCAATTTTATATTCATATAAGAATCGTCATGCCTAGATACGTACTAATGCTAGTACTCATGCTAATACGAGTATTAATACCAATACAAGCATAGGTATGAATATTCCTACGGGTATTTATGCTCATGTTCTTAACAAAATTATTCTCAGTACGAATAGCGACATTAATAGTCTCTTTAGAACCATATTGATATTAATATGAGCACTAATACTTCGGCTAATACGAACATGCATAATACTAGCAAAATTATTTGTGCTCATACAAATATAGAAAGATTATTACATACTCATATTAATATCAATACCAATATGAATTTACAAACATCATATTAATGTCAATATCGTTTTTGTAATGTATACTAAAGAATACATCACAATAAGGCACAAGGAAATGAATGCATCAGATTGTTAAAAACTCAATGTTTTCATTTACCAATATGTATGGTTGTAGTAGTATACTAATATACTAATAAATTAATATACTAATATACTGAGAAACTGATATACCAATAGACCATTGTTACTAATATACCAATATACGAGTATACCCAAAAATTTTTTTAATGAATATATATGTTTTGTTTATATACCAATATACTGAATATACACATATGAATACTTATACACATAATGTACTAAGACTAAGTTTTTAAAGCCCAGCCCACGTCTAATATTAATACGAATACTAACACGAACACTAACACTAACACTGCTATAGACATATATTAAATTAAACTGGAGCACTAATACTCATATTAATATTAAGACTAACACTGAGGTTGACACTGACACCAGCATCAGCACTAACAGGAACACTAATCAAACGAACAGTAATATTGGACAGATACCAGCAGCATTGTTAGAACTTCTAAAATTAGTAATGACACAAAACTAATAATAATGCTAACGCTAGCAAAAATATTAAGGTTACTGCTCACAATAATTGAGGTTCAAACTTAGAACAAAATTAAGTCAAGACCAATGTTAACACTGTTTTTTAAGACTGAAACTAATAATAAGACTTTGACAAGATGACAACTCATGTTAATATCAATACCAATATGAATTTACAAACATCATATTAATGTCAATATCGTTTTTGTAATGTATACTAAAGAATACATCAGAATAAGGCACAAGGAAATGAATGCATCAGATTGTTAAAAACTCAATGTTTTCATTTACCAATATGTATGGTCATAGTATTATACTAATATACTAATAAATTAATATACTAATATACTGAGAAACTGATATACCAATAGACCATTGTTACTAATATACCAATATACGAGTATACCCAAAATTTTTTTATTAATATATATGTTTTGTTTATATACCAATATACTGAATATACACATATGAATACTTATACACATAATGTACTAAGACTAAGTTTTTAAAGCCCAGCCCACGTCTAATATTAATACGAATACTAACACGAACACTAACACTAACACTGCTATAGACATATATTAAATTAAACTGGAGCACTAATACTCATATTAATATTAAGACTAACACTGACGTTGACACTGACACCAGCATCAGCACTAACAGGAAAACTAATCAAACGAACAGTAATATTGGACAGATACCAGCAGCATTGTTAGAACTTCTAAAATTAGTAATGACACAAAACTAATAATAATGCTAACGCTAGCAAAAATATTAAGGTTACTACTCACAATAGTTGAGGTTAAAACTTAGAACAAAATTAAGTCAAGACCAATGTTAACACTGTTTTTTAAGACTGAAACTAATAAAAAGACTTTGACAAGATGACAATAATTGATAAAGGATGAGGCACACAAACTGGACTCTGTCTTTTACCACTCCGACAAGACGCGCCGAGAGTGTAAATGGTGTCCATAAAACTGGACCCTGTTTTTTACCAGTCTGTCAAGAGGCATCGAGAGTGCAAACTTTGTACGGGAACACAAACACCATCGGTATTTACAGTGGTTTCGGCTCTTATTCATGAAGTTGTGAAGACAGTAATGAGCAGGACAATGGCCGAGGTTGGTCCTGGGGGGGGGGGGGGTTACCATATATATATATATATATGTGTATGTCTACTTATAGATATATGATGTGTAGCATACATGTTCCTTCCTCACACGTGTGGCAACGCTGTGAAATCCTACGTTGTGTGTAAAAAGATTGGATTCCTGGCACTGCGAAGGGATCGCGGTGAACGCGGCAGTTGCGACTTCCTCGCGCCCTAACGTGGTATGCTTCTGGGCGAAAATCGCTTTCTTTTCCGCACGGGCCAATGCCGCACATTCGGCGGTGGGGCACGGAGTCTTAAAGGCGAAAGCCAACCAAGGGCGGACGGAACTCTGGCCTCGACTCTTCTTTCCTCTTGCCTGGTTTCGGACTTATCCTTCCGATCCTGGCAAGCTTGGCAAGTGGCCGAAGAGTGCAAAGAGTGCAGGCGATCTGAGACGGCCTCCTCTTTCTGTGCTCCTAGCACGAAGCCAACAAGCGGCCGGTCCTTGGAAAACAGAATGCCTCGAGTGTAAACCCGAACCTAAAGCTGTCCTACGTTCCGTCAGGATTAAGTCTCATGACATCTGACCCGGAACCTGAGCTTGAAGATTGACTTCAAAACAGCCTTGCAGGAACAAGGAAGAGCCGGAGCGAGGGGAGTCATGGCTTGGGGTGTGGCACATAAGGGACAATACGGAGAAGTGCTGGTCAGTACTGCTGCGTCTGGGCGGCGACAGTCTTTGCGCGTGGAGCTTTCTGCTCGCGGTTCTCCCGGCGCTCCTGGAACGGCCGGGGACCAGGGACCAACCACATTCGAAGACTTCTCTTCTGCCGTTCTCTCCTTGGGTGGGGACGGCGGCTCCGGGCTTGGCGGCCGCTGCTCCTCTTCAGGCGATGATGGCACGGCCCGAGGCCCCCCTGCACACCCCCCTGGCTGTCCTCCTCAGGAGGGGAAGGTGGTGGCTTCGGGGAGTCCTTTTCAGGCTCCTCCTCACCGGAATGTCTCAATCTGAGAACCCAGAATTCGAAACGACCCCCAAGGCCTCGTCCTCGTCTTCCTCCTCCTTGTCCTTCTCCATTGCATCGGCATCCTGAAAAGGCGATCCTTCTGGGCTCTTGACTGTCTATCAAAGCTGCAGCTTCCTCGTTCTTCTCTTCCCTCTCATCACGTTCATCCTTCTCGTCCTTCTCGTCCTTCTCGTCCTTCTCGTCCTTATCCTTATGAATTCGAACAGTGCGCCATGGATAGCTCTGGATAAACCCTTGCAGGCTGAGCTTCATCCTCCTCCTCTTCTTCCGGCTTCTCCTAGCAGATAGACATGTCGCATTCTTAGCGATATCTTAACACGCCGTGCGAAATGCCCGTGACCTGCCGGTGCCTGAACCCTGCCCGGAAAAGCTCGACATCCGGGCCTCCATAGCCGCATCCTCTTCTGCCTCGACCTCCACACCTTGAAAGCATGCAGACACCCGGCTTGCTCAACAGCACTTGTGTGTTGGGTGCGCCTTCTCCGCCCTTGGAGCACTGCGACCTTGGCATCTCTGGCAGTTTCAGTTTAAACAAGCTGACAAAAAGGGTTTTTCTGCCGAGGAACAGGGGGCGGAGGCCGTGCTCTTTGGCCTTGGCCTCCAAGGCTGCGCCGGCCTCGTCCTGGAGCTCCGCCTCGAGCTCTCCTTCGGGGAGCCGAGTCGAGTTTTGCAGAGGGCACCGGATGCACTCCCCGGTTACGTCTCCTGTGAGCGGGAAGTGCTCGCTGAGAGCCGTCTCCAAGGACTGCAGAGCCTCAAGTCTTCGCGCATCTTCCATCTCATTCAGCTGCAAATGTTACAGGTGGATTTCACAACTGGAAACAAAACGACGGTGAGATGACACACCCACTGCTACATCCCTCGTGAACGCAAACTGAGACATGAAGCGGGTGATAAAGCACACAGCCCGCCTCTATGATGGTTTCAGCATCGCAGCTCTTCATGCCCTTGACAGCTCTCAGGACCTTGCAACACTCCAGAGAAAGCGCATGCAATGAAAATTGAAGCATCTCCTGGTGTATTACAACTGGAAGCGATAACTGCGCGACCGACCTTCAAAGATGCCTTCTGACTCACCTGCAGTGGCAAGTGCTTCTACTTGCTTGAAAGTAAGCAGCAAATAACCCATCCGGCAGAAGCGAGCAATGCCGGAGATTGGTGAAGTCGCAACGCTCCCTGACCACCTGCTCCTTCTCCTCGTCGCTCATTTCCTCGAGCTGGGCCTCGATGGCCTCGCCATCTGGCTCCTGCAAACTCCGTGAAAACCGAGCGATTCGCCTGCTCCTCTTATTGGCTTGGAACACTCTTCATATGCCAGAGCACCCACCCAGTCACATGTAGCCGCATTGTGCGGCACTCTGGCTGTAGGCGGTGAAACTTCCACCCTCGAATGGAATCGTCGATCTTGCTAAGAGGCCTCCCACACGCATTCCTCTATGCTCATTGTTTCGGTGGGTTACAGGACAAAGGAGCTTCCTTTTCCCCCACGCAGCGTATCGTGCCTCCTCTACGTATGTGTGTGTGGGTGTGTCTAGAAGGTGGTACGCCCGGGCGCTTGCAAATACACGCTCCTCGAGGGTTCTCCTTGCGCCAAGTTTCTCGAGGTCTTCTGTGAAGGTGCGGCTCCTGATAACACAGCTTGTTCACTAACGAGAGAGGACAAGAACGCGCAGCACCACGATTGGTCTACATGGCCGAGCTGCTGTGTGGTGCATTCTTCAATCTTGCCTTGGGGCACTTCTGGTCTGTCTGACGAGATCTGAGAACAGAAAGTCCCCCTTTGCGATAAGCCCTCGACGCTCCAGCTCGGCCACTTCCTCCTCCTGCTTCCTCTGCTCCTCAGATCGATGATGATCGATGCCAGTGACTTCTTCCGCCCCCCCCGGCGCCTCTTCCAGCACGGCCTTGGCTGATCTGCTCTCCTCCTGCAGAGCCTCCACCTGGAGACGCTTCCGAGAGTCGAAAAGCCCCAGGGCCCGGCCCTTTGCGCCTGCGAGTGAAGCTCCTGGCTCTTTTGTCGGAGGCCAGCACCTCAAAGAGACAGAAAGGACACTTCAACTTGCACAGAGTACCAAGTGCATCAAGCCACGGCGGCTGGTCAACGACTCCTGCTGTGGCTCTTAACTTCTTAAAACCGACGCGCGTGAGACTCACATTGTGGGACTAGCCTGCAATGCTGTAAAGTTCCAAAGCCATGTAATGAAAGTCAAGTCAAACTAAAGTGCAATGGTCCTGCTCTTCGCCAAACTGACGATCAAACTCGTCAATGTCTTTCTGAATGCTGTCCAACTTTCCTGCTTGCTGCATGCTTCTGCTGCAGCACATGGTTCACAGCTTTCGCTCGCCTTGTCTGTCCGCCTCGATTCGTCGAAGCTCCGACATCTTCTCCTGTGCAGGAGGACACGCAAAGGAATAGACGGCGGCACAGTTGATGAGAGAGAGAGAGAGAGTCCGTTCCTTGTGACGCTTTTGCTCCTGGCGCAGAAAGTCGCTGTCCGTGCCAGGAATGCGGTTTTAACGACGGCCAGCCTTGGCCATGGCTTTGCGTGTCTCTTCGAGCTCAGACTTGAGCTCTTCCTTGCTCTTCTCTCTGTTTTCCTTAGTGTATCAAAGTGGCAACAAAAGCAGAGCGGCACTTTGATCTGAGTGCGTGATTCGTTGTGAGCCAAGTCACCGCCTCCTGACGGCGTGTCTCTTCTTGGTCATTGAGCCTCAGGGACTGGGCGATGCCGCGACGTCTGAGCCGTGACCACGCCGTTGCTGGGCTGGCATTTAAACACGAGGCCATCTTGCATGCCGACGGCATCACAGGCACGAGATGGCACGAGATTAAGATGCGGCAAGGCAATCAGAGTTTTGGTCACAACATCCTCTTTGAAGCATCCGAGGACTTACTTGCACAAGCGAGATTGCAACCGACAGGCTTGGCTTGAGAGGCTGCTTCTTCGCTTTGCAGTTCCTCGCACTCTGCTTGGAGTTCGGTCAGTCGTCGTTGACCTCAGTTCCGATGATCAAGGCAATTGTCGCATCGCAAGGCTTCTGAACCCAAGCACAACCGCGGACAGCAAGGTTTAGGCAACGACGATCTTCTTCCTCCTGCTCGAGGCGAGCAGGGAGCTCAGAAGATTTCTGCACCAAAACCTGTCAAGTGCACGTCTGAGGCTCATGGGTTCAATTCAGCATATGCTGGTGCGAAAGCCTCCTTTTGTCTGCTAATTTCCGCAGACTCGGATTCCAGGGCGGCAATTTGCACCTGCGCAAGCAGCAACCTACACAACCGCGACTCAGGGCATCCTGCTTACAGACCCATCAGTTCCCTGCCTGCAGACCTTGGCAGCAGCTGTGTGTGTACTGATCGCTGCAACTTCTTTAAGCGAATAAGCCAATGCACACATTATAGACGTCAATATGCCACCGAGGCAGCTTAAAGCTTTGATTTCAGCCTTTAGCAGCTGCCTCTTGGCGCGCCTGAAACAGGAGACATCAAGTCTGGACTGTTGTCGCTTGCGACACCTAACAACCAGGTGGGATGCCTGTCTCTTCTGAGCTTTTCGGCGATCTCCTCGCCGACATGAAGGTTGAGACAGCCATAAAAACTGCCACAGCACAGCGACCTTCTCAGACTTCCCGTTAGGCGGCACAGGCGCCTGCCGCATGCGCAAAAAAGCTCCACTGAACGCAGCATGTTCACAAGCTATGCTAGCTTCCTAGGCGTTTTCATGCAGAAACATCAAGTTTCCATAAGACCAGAGCGGGTCTGTGCCACGGAGACTTGTGATGGTCTGATGCCTTACTGGGCGGAGTCTTCTTAGTGTCTTCCTCCTCCTCTTCCTCCTGAGGATGACAGCATCCAGGCAAAAAAGGTTCTAGCTAGGCCAGCATGCTAAGGTAACAGGCCATGTCCTCCTTCTCGTCCTCGTCCTCATCATCCTGCGACGTGCTAGCTACACTGGAAGCCACGTCTTGTTATAACATCCCACTCCAAACTGCCTCCTTCTTGTCGTCCTCCTCCTCTTCCTGTTCCTGAAGCGAGACATTGCCAGCAAAGTGCGGCATGCACCCCTACCAAAGCCGTCTCCACGCCTCCTCTTCCTCTTCGTCATCTTCATCGTCGTCATCTGATTCCTTCTTTCCTCGCATGTACAGATGTGCTACTCCGAATGATGGGTGTCCAACAACGCAACACATCGGTCCTTTTCTCTTACCCCGAGCAGACTTCTCGTCACCCTTTTTTCTGTTCTTTTTGTCTCCCTGTCGGGGTCGTTTCCTGCTCCTGTGCTTCGGGTGCACTAGATTGAATCGAAGCCCCTGACATGTCTCAACGGATCACTCAGCAGTGCTGCACACTCTACAACTCCTCTGCTCTGGTTCAGAGGATTCTTGACCTCGGAATGACAGACGCTGCCCCAATACCATGGATGCATGTACACCAGAACATGAACGGTATGCAAGCGGCATCTGACGACAATGCCAAGCTACTATCGTCTTGATCGCCGGTCCTCCGGCATTTGCCATGTTGCTTCTAAGTCCATGTCTCTTCAGAAGTGATGCAGTCATACGACGCCACAGGGCTTGAAAGCATCGCTCCTGTCATCCCTGCGATCTCCTCGCCGGCCTTCTCTACGGCCGCGGTCGTCACGGCGGCGGTCGTCGCGACGATCCCGGTCATCCCGGCGATCTCGGTCGTCGCGACGATCACGGTCATCTCCTCGGTGGGGCTCTCAGCTGCGTGCATGCCGACGCACTGTACATTGTGAAAGGTCTCTGTGAGGCTCTCGCTCTGGTGGGTTGTGCACAGTTTCCTTTCTTTCTGGATGCGGCTTCGGGTTTTGGCAGGGGATTTATTTTCGGGAAGCTGTCCCAGAATTCTAGGTTGCAGGGTTGTGTTTTGGGAGCAGCCGTTGGTTTGCGGGTCCTGTCTTGCTGCAAGTCATTGGGGAATTCCAGGCATCAGTATATGCTGATGTCCCCAAAGCGGCTGGTAATTTCCGTTTTGCTGGGTCCTGCTTCGCGGTGAGCGGTTAAGGAAGTTCCAACTTGTAGGGTCTTGTTACGCAAAGTTGATGGGGAAGTACAGCTTGTGGGGTCTTGCTCTGCGTCCACATATTAGCCCGGCCCCTGTTTGTTTAGCAGCCAAAGATGTTGAGAATTTCCATTTGCTGGAGCTGGCTGTGCAGCAAGTGCCTAGGGAATTCCGCCCGCAATCGGCGAAATCTACAACATAAAAAGGACCCTGTTGGAAAAAGTTGTTGGGGAACTCCAAATGTGTTATTGGGGACTTCCGATTGCAGAATCCTGTCATAGGGCAAGGCTACTGCGGAAGTTGAAGTTGCAAGGTCACTGTTCTGCGACAAAGCCCTACTGGCGGGATCACAGTCTGCACAATCGTGCTTTGCAGCAGGCTGTGGAAAGTGGTGAAGAAGTGCAATGTGCGGCCCTGCGCCACTGGGGAAGTAATTCGAATTGAAAATCCGCATAGGGCCTCACGCGCTTGAGGGTCACGATCGGACGACCCTTCGAGGGCAGTCCTCTCTTAGGCGAGGGTCTTGGACGATGCGCGACATGGTGATGGGACGATACTCCTTAAGGTTAGTTTGTGGTTCTTCGCCGGAGGGGTCGCAGCTACCCTTTGAAATCTAATCTTGCGTCCGACCTGTTGTGAACATGGTGATGGGAAAAGCCGGAAGGCACAACAGTACGCAGGAAGCGGAAAGCGGTGATAGGAAAGCCGAGGAGGAGCAGTAAGACGGCGAAGAGCAAAAAGCGAGGATCTGCAAGCAGGGAGCAAAAACCAGAGCAGAGAGCGGACATATGGCGTCACAAAACAACCACAGGACCCTGAAACCACCAGGACAACAAATGATACAAGATGATACAAGAACAATGCCTCGAACGTAGCACGCACATGGCCAGACTCAAGCGAGATCACGCCAGAATTTGAGGGCATCCAGGCTCCCATCTTGCAGACCGCTCAGCTTCCTTGCAACTCCTTTCCTGTGTGCGGGCAAGCTTGAAGCCTGCAACCAGTCCTTGAAAGCAAGTTAATACATCCAAGGGGCGCCGTGCATCGTCTCTGCGGGCATATCTGCCTCGTCTCCGGTCGTCGTGGCGTGCTCCGCCTCGACGTCGATCGTCTCGTCGATCGCCTCAAGGTTCCATCATGCTTCCGCACAGCGCCTCCGGTGCCTTCACCCAGCATCCATCATTCCATCAAGTCAAGCTGCGTGAACGCGACCGCCTTCGAGACCTAGTTCGCGACCTTTCCCCATGGCATGAACACACGTAAGACGAGAGCTATTTCACTTGAGATACGAGTACACGTGTAGTACACGAGTACCCGCCACGGGAATGGGCCTCTGTCGCCTGCCTCGAGGCTCCTCCTCGTTTTTGGATTTGGCCTTCAGGTCTTTAAGCACATGTGAAGCCGCAGCACAAGCTTTGCTGATTCCATTCAAATCCAAGAAGCAGGACGTTTTTCGTCTGCAGCTTTTTTCTCTCTGGGAGATTGGCTCTCCTCCTGCGCAAGGGACATCCGCCAATCTGTCAACACACACTTTGCGAATTGTCGGGAATGCCAGCTCGACACAAACTGCAAACTCCATGAATTGCAAATACGGCTGCAAATACGGCTGGCTTCCACACAACACATGGGCGGTTGTCAATGTTAGGGTCCCTTTTCGGGTCCTTATTATACTACGGCACCTATAATATTCCGGGTACCCAAAAAGGGACCACAATTTTGACGACCACCTACATGGCACCTAGCAACTCAAGTGCAAAGCACTCTTGTCACCATGTGACGCGGTCCTCGGCATCAGAACTTGCCTGGGCTTGCACTGCAAGGTCGGAAGGTGTAACGGGCTGCGAATTCTGCGAATGCTCTTCAAAGGCCAACAAACTCGCAGCTCCGGCCCGGGTGCGTCTGACTTTGCTTTTTTCTTCTTCGTCGCCATGACGAGGACTATAAGTAACCGCAAAGAAGTGAGCAAAAATGCTTCAAGACACAGGGTCAATGCATCTCCCTGCACTGTGATGACTGGCTCAGAAGATGGCTGGCACGGCGGAAGAACTTGATTTGATCACTCGCCACTCGGGTCGCAGGTCAAAAGCGCTCGCCCTCGCCAGTCCCAACAAGTTGCTGAGGCCCGGTTCGGCAAAGTCTAAACGTTTGCAGTGGGAAGCAGTGGGACCCTACACGGCTGAGAGCATGGCTGGGCCATGCCCTGGGTTCACTGTCGGAGCGCCCTGTGCACAATCATTGGCGCACAAACTATGTTCGCATTGCCGGGGGGAGCATTAGCTCATCAGCTTCTTGCATAGAAGTTGGAAGACTGAAACACTAAGAGTCAACTTGTAATGCTTCCCCTGACTCAAGGCTGCCCTGCTGAGCTATGAATACAAAGGGCAGGCCACTAGAACCCGTGTCAACCAAGCCTCTCCAAGCCTCGTGTGGCCAGAGACAGAGTCCTTCGGATCTCAGAAAAAGGCTTTCGAGTTCGAGGAAACTCCAACATGTCCTGAATGGACAGCCAACCACGTGGCCTCTGTACAGCATCCGAACGGATCAGAATCAGATTAGAGCTTGATCTTGGCGGGATCCCAAGACGAAGGATCAAACATGCTGTGAAGCCCGTCGAACATACTGGAAAAGGTTGCACACATGCCGCTCGTCAGCTGTGTTTCCAACTCCCCGTTACCAACATAGTTCTTTCGCCACATCACCCGTGGCTCGTCCGACTCGTAAGGCCTTCGGCCGTGTGCGACGGCACGATTGTCGATAACCAGGATCTCCCCCGGCACCAGAGGCACCACCAGCTGATGCACCTCCGAAGTTAAAGGAACTAATCGACAGCTGATTGAGCAATCGACAAGCTACCCCTGTGCGCCTCCTTCCGGGCGACGGCATCCATCTGCTCGTAAGAAGGCTTAACTTCTTCGGCTACATCGCCCAGGCAACCATCATTGCAGCGCCAGCGAACCTGTAGCCACCCAGAGTCTTTGTCTACCCAGAATAGAGGTATGGAGCTGACTTTCATCCAGGATCCATCTCCGGCTGGTCTGCGGCCCATAGAAACCATGCCGGGCTGCATCAACGTCCGCAACTCCTCGTTGGAGAGAGCCGCCACAAGATCTGCACCAGAAACCAGCACAGACTCACCGCCACCAGAGGGGGCGGATTGGCGACACTGCAGCGTGAGGAACCTTAGTTTCACGAGGTCGCGAAAGCAGCGCTGTGTGGCATGATGCATGATCTTGAAGTCGGAATGCTTTTGTTGCAGAACAGCACTACCCCTCCGAAAGAAAGTGCTTTCAATGAAAACCTGGGCCAACTGGGCCGAGGAGCGCGGAAGGGCTGTCTGTGTAAGCATCGTCCGTGTGAGGCAAGTGTTCCTTCTTGGGGTTCGCGGTATTGATGCTGGTCGGCTTGGCGGGATTGATCTCTACGATGCCAAACTCATTCATGGCATCATGAGGTATGTACCGACCAAACCATCTGTCCAAAGTCTTGTATGCTTGCAAGCCGTCGTCAAAGTCTTCTTGAACGAGGACGGTAGCACCGTATCGATTCATCATGAAAACGAACTCGTGCTGCTCTTCGTCTGTGATTTTTGCGATGGATTTCACTCGTAACCTTGTAACCAGACCAGATTCACGACAAGCCGCTGATAGAAAGCTAATGACATGCACTGGTGCACATCCACGGCACAGACCGACAGGCAAACAGGCAGGCAGGAAGGCAGGAAGGCAGGCAAGCAGCCAGGGAGGCAGGCAGGCGGCAGGCAAGCAGAGAAGTGAACAAAATGCGCAGGTACACACGCAGAATGCTTGCGAACAAACAAAACATGCTGTGACTGATCCTTGCACATCACGGCAACCTGAGCGTGTCTGGGTCGTTTGGAAGCACTTTCAAGTCGTCGCGAGAGCCATCACGCGGCAAGACTTCTTGCAACGGTACCGCAGGTTTCCTCGGTTCACCTGTCATGCGAAAGACATTGCGGCATCATATGTAATTCATCTGAACCTACCCTACGAAACCTTCCTTATGTCAGACCCTTTCCAGCGGGACCTGCACTTGTGCTTGCTTCCGCCATTTTGTTGAAATGCCTCATTTGCCCAGGCCCGCATGCCGGCTGCTTGGGAAAGCGACTTCCCAACGCAGCCAATCCGGGCGCCCGGGATCCACACCAACGGAGCGCTTGTAGAAGCTTCATTCCACCCTCGATAAATACAACCTCATCACAAAGACTGCAGGCACGCAGGCACAAGCCCAGCAGCGTGCAACACTTTGCTGGATGAGGCCCAGGCCGGTAGCACGTGAAATCAGCACAACACCATGATGGTCATACCATGATTTTTGAACATGGAAACAGCATCTGAACGAGCATACAATTCGAGAAACTCACGAGCTTTCCACCCGAAACATCAGCAAATGCAGCATGTTCCTGAAAATTGTTCTTTCGAGTCTTTGGGCTTTGGTTTCGGGCATCTGCTGCGCGGTTTGACTTCGCATGCTCACAAGACATCGAACACAAAATAGCTTCGCGTCGGGAGCGACACAGCTACATTGTGGATTCGGGGGGTTGCGAGCTGGGAAACTCAAAACCTAGACCCCTGCTGGAAAAGGATTGAACCCGGATTTAACATGAACTGACGAATCCCGACTTGATTTCTTCCCATAAACCTCACAACGCACAACACATTGAACCGGTATTCAAGTGCTTCCCAAGGCTCAAAACGACTCACCGGGATCCACCGCATTCACCGACGTCATTGCGAACCCCATGTCAATTTTCAATGGTTCGAATGTTCTCAAATCCTACTTGATGACTCTTCGAGATGGACCTTATTCGAATGATGCCGGCATGGACCCGAAACAGTGAAAGACGGAAGAAGACGACTGGAAGACAACAGCATATGTACTGGCGGGAATGAGAAAACCACACGGACGAGCCCGAGAGGGCGAATAATGTTGACGCCTCGACTTGGTCTGCATGTGTGCCTGCATGCGAACCAAGCCATAACAGTGGTTTGAGTTTCCAATGCTTCTGCGGCGAAACTAACAGCATCAGAAGTTGAGTATAACAGTGAAGGCGAGATAAAGTTGCGCAATCTCGAGGCCAGTTCAGCCAAAAATGCGTTCCAGCACGCGGCACCGCGAGGATTAAGACACGATGGTCGTATGAGGTTTAGCATTGAAAAGAAGGCAAAACACGTATTGACTTTTTCGTGAGCTGTGTATGGGGTCAGGAGTGGCAAGCCATAGGGTTGAGTGTACAAGTGGGCGATACACAGATAGAGATCAAGATAAACCCCCCAAAGTTTGATTATGTCGGAGAGCGGGACCCGGAGGAGCTGCTATTTCTGCAGAAAATGATCTGTGTCAAAGGAAGCTCGGTTTTGAAGGGCTGTATAACACGTAAATGTTCAATGACATGCATCGTAATTCGGTCAGGACCACATCCAGAATCTGGCCCATGCTTCTGTACCTGTTGAAAGAAGGCCTCGGCTTTGGCACTTAAAGTCCCACGACGGCAAACCTGACCGGAGAACTCCTGAAATAAGCCCGGGGCTGCAGGCCGCGGACTTGCTTTGTTGAAGGAAAGTGTTTGTACTGTCCCGAACATCGTACCGTGTGACTGCTGCAAAGTAGCCAGAGACGAACGCATTCTGGAAAATGGCCCGATGCAACTCAGTTTGGGGCTCGTGCGCTCCAAAAATCTGAAACGAATGTGAATAGGCCGGGTAACTGAACGGTTGGCCCGAAAGTCAGCCTTTCCTATGCCTTTTGCACGCCAAAACGACTTGGCGTTTTGTTCGCTGTTGATCATTTTGACCAAGTCTATGCTGCAAAGCTGACGATCTAGCTCGCACTGCCGCCACGACAGCTTGATTACGCCTCTAGTTTTCTAAGCAAGGGTGGCGGGGGGTTCGCCCAGGTTCAACACAGGTTCAACTCCAGAGGTCCCCAGAGATGGAGGGGAGAACATCAACATTGAAACCCGATAAGAACGCGAAAATTTTGGGTGTGGCGTCGAGCACAAGAATATTCTTTGCCAGAAGGGCCATCGCGGGCTTTGTAATATCGTTGAATCTGAACTTTGATCATAGGACACATTTCTCGCTCAAGTGACCACTGACTGGCGCGCCGCCGATCGACTTCGTGAAAGCTACCTAATTGGAGCCCCAAATGTGCGCCAAAATGGACCTCCAGACTGGTTCCGTGTACTAGAATCAAGAAATTCGGCCTTAATTTAGAAGAGAACGGCCTTAATTTTGAGTTCCGTTCCGGGGTCTGAAAATCTGGGGTTCCCAAAAACGGACCTTAGTTTTCACAACTACCCATGTGTTAACGCATGCAGGTGTGGACGAGCGCCAGTCCGCACTGAACACGTCTGGAGCACAGACCTTCCTATGCACATCAGCAACAATAAAAGACCACTATGTTGACCAGAAACACAGATTTGCCAGCAAGACCATTACAAACTTTGGACTTTGGACTATTGGAATCACATTTATAAACTACCTACACCAAACTTGGGTCAAAAATACACCCCTCGCTCACATGCTCACCGCCACTTCCAAGAATGCATACCGACAGTCCATCCAAAACTGGAGAGACACGACCCAAATTCTTGGGAGTGTAGGTCTTCTGCAAGAAGGCACCACAGTGGGTAAACAATCGAAGCCGTTACCCCCAAATGACCAAATAAAAACGTTCTTGCCATCACACATGAAAGAAAAAGCGACGAAAACGCTGTGGCCGGTTGCACTGGACTCTCGGAAGAATTTTGGTTGGGTTGAAAAATGGTGGGGACTGAAAACGAGACGTTGAACGAAAAAGCAAGGCCAAACCTCCAGAACTCATATTGCATACGACTTGCACAAGGAACTGCTCAAGAAAATCTGAATATGGACAGTGCAGACTTCATGCAAGAAAAGTTTCAAAAACCAACGTGTTCTGAGTTGGCTATGCTGTTCTGTTGAAACATTGCAAGAGCGCTTTTGCTGTTTGAAAAAATTACCGTGCAAAGGTTGTGCTACGTCTTCCATCATGTAATGGACTCTCGTTGGCGAACGTGACAGACATGCCCAATCGCTGCTCTGTCGGATGTGTTGCAAAGGACGCTCGCAAAACCGTGCACGAGAGTTTCTTCTTTTAATCAAGCTCCCGTCCATTGTGGAAACTCGCACTTGTTTCTGTTTGGACACAAAAAAATGACAAATCAGAATCAACAGCCGTTCTGAGTTCTTCGGAGAGGGGGACGGAAACAAAATTTAAAGCAACGCGATAAGTCGCTAACCATCAATTGGTCGCATTTCTGGCTTCTGATGCAACAACACAAGTGCTGCAAGCAAGTTTTCGAGACGGACGTCGACCCTACAATACAGCAGACTGCAAATTCGAATCTGTAGAGGCGACAAGACAAAAGCAACACAGTGACTTTCCAATCTTGCCGCTCCATGAATCTGGTTGTACTGATTCTAACCAGCACTAGCTCGAGATTTTTGAGAATCATTTGTTTAAGGCATTTTGGTTTTTCCCAGACCAAAGCAAATTCAACCCTTGCACGCTTGGCTTGCGCCAGTGGATTCAAAACTTTGATAGATACACCAATCTGCTTCTGCACTTCCAAATGGTAGAATTCAGTTGGATTGTTGGAATTGCCAGACTGGAAGACACCAAGTAAAATCTGCTAGGACACCAATCTTCGTGTTTCGTTTCATTGAAGCACGTTGCTGTGGTGCTCAGTTGAAGAAAACAAAAAACCACCACACTCAAAAGTAGAGACGGCTACTCCAGCCTGTTCGTCAACTCAATTCCATACATCGAGCTCTCAAGTCACATTCATTCTGAAGAACCGAAGTTTCGAATGAAGGAATTCTTTGTCGGCACAATTACCAACCTGTGTATGCATATTCGGGCAAGCCGCCTCCAAACTTCGCTCACCGATTCAAACAAGCATCAGCATTTCGAACCTTCATCGGAAGGCGAGGCGGAAAGCTTGCTCAGGGTGAAGAAGATTTTCAACGGATGTTTTTCAATCCTTCAAAGCATTCCTAAAAATTTCGAAACGCAAAGCTCAGAACGACTTGTCATCAGCTGTGATTGCCCCAGTCCAAAGATGCAATCAGAGCACGGCCTGGAGAACCACAAATCCAAAACAAATCTCAAACTCGCTTCACATTGTGCAACTGCAAAAGAATAGAACCACGGTTTTTTAAATCACAAACATTGAAACGACTTGAACTTTTCCATACTGAATCATTTTTTTTGGCTTGCATGGGTCTTGTGCCCAAGATCAAGGGACGATTCTGAGGTCCTATTGAGTTCCGATCGTGCACACCAGAGTCCACAAGTCCAATTCTAGGCCATAGTGGAAAGCTCGTCGACGTATGTCGAAAAGTTGGACCTTGAGAAATTCAATGTCTAGGTGCCGTCGAACGAACCGATCTCAGAGATCTTGTTGTATCCGATCGGACACGTCGAACCGACAAGTTTTTCGAAGTTCAAGCCATCAGTAGTCACCCTAAAAAGTTTTGAGACGGTCAAAACCGTACTGGAGAGTATCTAGGTCCGATTCATGAAGGTGAGATAGATGATCGTTGGAAATGAACGGGATTTGGATGTCCGTGCCAAGTCTGCTCTGCTTCGCTGCACGCTACTCGTCTTGTCCCCGGCGTGTTGGTCACCGTTGCACAGAACCCCATTAGCTCAGCTTGAGTTTGAACGTATGCATCGAAAGTGGGCAAGGCGTCCAGGCGGACAGAGGAGTGAAGTCATTTGAACACAACGGCAACTGAGCTTCGAACCTGGATCGTGAAGACGACACAATGCCGCGTAAAAGCCCAGTAGACTGGAGAGGAAGAGTGGGCTGCGTCTGCAATCCCAGGAAGGTATCATCCAGAGGAACCTTACAGAGTCCGGAGCAGGAAAACATCTGCGGATCAAAATCTCCGGCGGGCAGGGAGAAGTCTGCGATGAAAGCCTTCCATCATGCGGGCAGCAATTGCGAGTTGGAGTTGGCCAACCGAGAGGTTTGGAACCTCCACTTTGACCTGGAGTTCGACAAACTGCAGGCCATGGAGCTGGGCTCGTGCAAACGCACAAGCTGCAAGTACGGAGCCTCAGTCAGAGCCCTGGCCAGAGAAAACGAGCTGCACAGAGCAAAACACCACAGGAAGAAGTGGCGTGAAAGAGAACAGAGTCCAT